TAAAGTAACTTTAATTCATACAAAATTAAAGCAGATGCTGTCACGTAGACTTCATACACGTGTTCTGAATATGTAAAAGATAATAATGACATTAAATATTTCTCTATTATTACTTAAAATATCTTCTTACGGTGGTAAAGTCTAGCTGTGGTCAATTACTACAGCTCGAACATGGGCTGGCTCGACCGGGGAAGTACCACCCTCTCACAGATGATCGGTGTAAAGTAGCCTTTAGTGGCTACGTTGAGTGAGAACTGGTTGCCATTTCCCTGTTCCCACCCTTTCCTACAATTTCCTTATTCCTAACCCTCCCTTTTCTTTGACAATTAAGGTTGGCAAAGCATTCGCAACATCTTTGTTGCGTATGTACATGGGCGACGGTCACTACTCCCCATCAAGTAGGGTGTCTGCTCATTTGCCACCTTTCACAAAATAAAATTATCTTAAATCTTACTTCTTACATATTTACGTTTATTACTATTTTTTAAAATAATTTTCTTATTCGTTTTTCCAACAAAACTCTATTTTGTGTATAGACTCACCATTATCTTGCTAGAGTATAGAATAATTATATTTTTTATTTCAATTTTAATACGTTTATTATTTATTATTCCAAGAGAAAACAATAATTTCTACTATTATAAAAGAAGATTTATTGCAATAAATTATAATTTTAATATCAAATGAAAGAAAAATTTAATACTTTTATCTTTGTAATAAAAAATCAATTAATAATTTTATATCATATAATAGTTTTTATTACAATAAACTTGAGCTATAATCAAAATAGGTTCATTACATTTCAAGTTTATTGTTATTTATATAAACAAAACAATAGATATAATAAATTCAAAGTAAAAAATTGTTGAAATCGTCATGAAAACTCAATCTTAGTCTTAAGAAAATATTTAGTCTTTCTTCTTCTTCCTAAAAATTTCCCATCTTTAGACAGGGTCTGCCTTACATGTTGTTAATAGTTTTGGCTGAATGTTTTTACGACCGGCAGCCTGCCTACCATCAACCCTCTTTGGGAATGCATCAATCACTACGCTTGCACAAGACGGGTTGGTGATTTCAAACTTATAACTGTGAAATTATAAATCCAGGTTTCCTCACGCTGTTTTCCTTCACCGTCTGTCAGTGGTGTCTAAATACTCTCAAAAAGTATATATAACTCGGAAAAATCACATTGGTGCTTGCCAGGATCGAACCCGCGCCCTCATGCATAAGAGGCGGGCCGTTAACCACTAGGCCACCACAGACTTAATCAGCATATTTAGTAATATGTCAAATCACCCTGTACATGTCATTCTATCAATGATTCACGAAATTCTTATCAAAAAACCATGACCAAGATCTAAATCGATAAGTTTAAAAGATGAGGTCAGTAATACATATTTTAAACATCAAAACATATTTATATGAATATTATTACATTCCAATAGTAATTCAAAACTTAAGATTGTTAACCTCATTTTAACTATGGGATTTATCTATAACTAGCTTTTCGCCCGCAGCTTGACCCGCGTGGAGTTCGGTTATATCGCGTTTCCAAGAGAACCTTTCTAAAGTCTGGGATAAAAACTATCCTATGTTCTTTCTCAAGGTCAACTCTATCTCTGTACAAAATTTTATTAAAATCAGTTTAGTGGTTTAGTCGTGAAAGCGTAACAGACCGACAGACAGACAGAGTTACTTTCGCATTTATAATATTAGTAGGGATTTATAAACACAGTACATTTCCATAGACGCGTAATTTAAAACAATATTATTATATTATATTATAACAGAGCAATTATAAAAGAAATATGGTTTTATACCCGTTTATACTTAACATATTTTTTTAGAATATTAAATGATGATACTTTAAATATAATATTACAGCTATAAACAATTATACATATGTAAATTGATGAATAACAATAAGTTTATGTTTATTTTAGTTTGATATCTCATCTATTATACCATTCATGTATATTATATACCTAATTGTTTTTATCAAAAAACAAATGTTCACTTAATACGTAAGATAAAATTTTAATAATAAATTAAGATTAAAATGTAAAATTTCTTGTCAAAATCTCAGAACTTTAGCGCTAGTGTATAATATAGTACATTAGGTAAAAGGTATATACTAGCGGAAAGGGTGGGAAAAGGGAAAGAACAACCGGCTCCCTCACTTATCGGACGAAACGCAGCCATTAAAGACTACTTCACGCCGATTTTCTGTGAGAGGGTGGTACTTCCAAGTCGAGCCAAATCGTGTTCGCGCTGTAGTAACCACTTGACCACAGCTAGGCTCTACCACCTCACATAACATACATACATCATCATAGTTCAAGAGGAACAGCAATAGGGAAACTTTGTCCTTAAGTCTCAAGGTCGAATCCTTCTCTCGTAGATGAGATTATATATAATATGTGTATGTGTATGTGTATGTGTGTGTGTGTGTGTGTGTGCGTGCGTGCGTGCGTGTCTGTTTGTGTGTGTGTTCGTAAGTCATTACCACGCAGATGAGCGGTAACACTATACACAAAATATAAACTATGAATGATAATCCAAACTTATCTTAATTTATCATTAAGTCCATCTCTTTGAATTTCCTATTTTATGAATATTAAACATTAAAACCACTTTAAAATGTGCAAATAAACGGAAAAACAAATAAAAAATATACATAAATGTAGAACTAGCCTTCCAGTTCCAGCAAACCTCCTTTCAACGAGTAAATGAAATGGAACATGAATGAAACAGTTTATAAGAAAATAACAAAAAAAACGTAGTTTTATTTTTTTATTAATATATAAAACAACATTCCAACAAGTTGCGTAACCATGTTAATATATTTGTAATTAATAATCTTAATACATTTACATTTTATCACGTGTCTCGATGTATATTTTTACATAAAAAATATTTACAGTTTATTATATAATACGGAAGAAGGTTAATGTTTAAAGATGTAATATATTTTTAATTATTTTAATTAAGTTTATTTGATATGCTTTACCATAATCATCTTTGTCAAATTCATAGATCTTGGCGTACCTACTAGTTTTACTGTGCTCTTAGATATATAAAATAGAATTTGCCGTAATTCAAGATCTTATCATTCCTTGGAGCCTAAAGATAAGGTTGTATTATGTTTAACGCCTGAATAGAATTGAGGGAAGACATTATAATCTTATTAAAGTGATAATGGACTTATCTTAGATAGATTAGAGAAACGTCTATTTATTATATAGATTTGTGTGATAAATATACATTTCTAAAACTGAAATAACTCTACCTGAAATCTGCAAATACTTTTCTTTAGGCTTCTTCAGGCTTTATAAAAAGCATTTAATCTTCGTTTTTAACCTACCTAATTAATAAAACAATATTGCCTTGATCGTCATAGTAGCAACGTAATAATCAATTGAAGCAAGATTGAAGAATTGATAATTTAACTGAAAAGTTAGTTTTTTGGGCCGCAAAGCAGACCTGAGGTGTCTAAAGTTAAAGAGTTTCTTAAATTCATATTTAAAGTATCCATACTACTACAAACTATCTACCTACTCTTAATACTCTAATCATTTTCGTCTACTTCACTTCACAAACAGACTGTTAGACAGACAAACTCACTTCACCGTCGCAGTTTAAGAGTTCTAGGTACTTTTTATTTGACATCCGAGATTTTCAAGTTTAGGAAATGAAATTAGAAGTTAGTTTGTATAAACATGTTAAGTAGCACTTGATACACTTCAGAAAATTTAAAACATCCTTTTTCCATTCATTGACTTTATTAAAACTTTGTGATGCATAAAAAATGTTGTGATGACATGAAAATATCGCAAACTGAACTCAAACTTGTTTTGCAATCCGAGTCTAGATATTGCTAATACATTATTATGTCACCTGGTCTCGAAGAAATCCCAAGCATTCTTTATTTTAATAAGATTGTTCACAGCTAAGTGATGGAATAAAAAATCGCAATAGCAATAAATATTAATGAGGTGGAAGTGGGTCTTTGGGTGAGGTCAGTGAAATGTCTGGTCAAGGAGACTTAAAGCCAGACAAAATTATAAATGAGTATAATTAACATATTATTAAAGTTTTTATATAACTAATTCTAAAAATAGTTTGTAATATTATTTAAAAAATTTCAATATCATTTTGTTTTCCTTTTTGTATTCATAGTGTCATACTTTGAAAACTACTCCGTTATAACAACTCGTCACCTTAAGTAAGTTTATACTACTCTAAATTAAAACATAATTCATAAATAATAAACAAAAATTTGTCTATAACATCTAAATCCTCTAATATTATCTTGTGAGTAAGCAAATATATAAATAACATTTTATTTTGGTATATTCACACTGACGCCTAAAGTATCATATAAATTATTCTTTATTTCTTTAATTTTTTTATCAAAAAGAACAAGGAATAAAAAACCAATAACTTTAAATATTTATAGTGCACAAGACTATAAGTTAAATACTTTAAATTTAATAGTTATGGGTTTATCATAATTATATAAAAAGTTGTCAGAGTGCAGATTTGCTAAGCCATTTATGCCAAGACCACACGAAACGTCTTATTTATAAAAAAAGATTGTTAGCAAAGAAAAAATAATTCAAAATATTGGGTTCAAATAAAATATTTGTTACGAGTCACAGTATTAAAAACCACAGAGGTTAATATTTATATTAAAACCATTTAAAAATCAAAAAGTTTTAAAATAATTTAGAACTAATTTTGTTAAATTTGTTACAGATACAACCTTTTCTAATTAATAACAATGTTAAAGGATTGGACAATCTAAGCTTTTAAAGTTAAAGGATATTTCTATAATTTCTTTGCCCTTTATACCTAGTTATTTTTAATCTATATTCTATTATCTATCGAAATTGACAACTAATTGTCATACCCACAAAACTTGTTTGTTTACGTAAAATTGAAATCACAAAAATTTGTATTTAAAAACAAGTTGGAATCCTATTAATAAGTAAGAAATAATGGATGATGATGACTATTGGAATACAAGTGAAACTAAAGCCAAAGCTTTTAGTTTTGACGATGATGTGGTAAGAAAATAGTTTATTATTGTAAATTTTCTAACACTATTTCTTTACCTGTACATAAAGACATGTACATTGAGACATCTTAGATGTTCTTATTTAAAAAGATTAAAAGTATAAATATTCCTTATATATTTATCTACCTTCAGTTTTATGGGTACATTTTTAAGGCTGTTATAATCTCAACATGATTTATATACAATTTTTTCAGCTATCAACTCGCGAGATTTTAGCCATAGGTCAGAAATCACACCCCGGCCAGTCTGTTGACAGTGTGTTTACTACATTAAATGATGCTCGAACTGAACTGTTGCCATTATCCAGTTTAGTGTCACCAAAAGTTTTAGACTTGAGTAAGTAAAGAATATTTTATAAAAATCATATCTCAATATGCCTGTAAATAACGTAACTAAAGCTGTATTTATATCTGAATCACATGATTCAATAATTTCAAAGATTTTCTCCAAAGCAACAAATTCATTTCATATATATAATTATATTAATAAGTCAGTGGTGTCCTAGTGGTTAAGGGCCCGCCTCTCATGCTCGAGGATGCGGGTTCGATCCCGGCTAGTACCAATGTGATTTTTCCGAGTCATATGTACTTTCAAACAGTATTTAGACACCATGATGAAGGAAAACATAGTGAGGAAACCTGGACTTATATTTTCACAATTATAACTTTGAAATCATTAAACTGTCTTGAGCAAGCAAAGGTGATTAATGCTCAAACCTTCTCCATGTAAGAAGAGGCCTTTGCTCAGCAGTATTAATAAATACTGTACTCTTATATTGGATCACCTTAAATACCATTCTAAACAGAAAAAAGTGCAAGAAAAACTTACTTATTGTTAAGTCAATATATTTTACACAAATTTTGTTGTTAAACTTTAATAGCTACAATCAATAATTGTGATTTTCTTACAGTAATACTAGCACAATCCGGCAAAGATCCAAATAACATCAAAGATTCAGAACAAACTTTAGCAATTACTTTAAAGAGGATTGTATTAGGACGCTCATTCTCTCTACGTCATTATAAGAGCTTGAAAAATAAAACGGAATTATTAGATGGAGCTATATGTATTGGGGATGGAAATGCAATTTTAACTGTGAGTTTAAATTGCTTACTTTTGTTTTGAATTGCAATTAATTACTTTTGTAGGTAAAGGTAACAGTTTTATATTTATATTACAAGATGTTGGTTTCTTTGCTTATATATTGTAACCGCTGAATTTCTTGAATATCTTGTTTTGGAAAATATATATATCAATCAATATTTATTAGGAGTAACAAGCATAGTCCAAGTAGAATAAAATCATCCTTATATTTTAAGCAAATTTCTATCAAAAACGGTCAGGCATTTCTCTAGATTAGAAACAAATAAGATAATTTTAAAAATCATTTGATGTTATATATACATATTATTATATGTGAAAGGATGGTAAATAATTTTATGCTTTTATTGAAAACTTGTTTATATAAAAATACAAATTGACACTTAAATTTGTATTATTTGCATATATGTTGTATATTAGTTATAATTGCTTGATATTGTTAAATAATATGATATCAAGTATAAATAGGAAGATTTTACTATAGAAAGTTCAGTCATTCGGTCTTGTTAGTCGCAATACATATATTACGAATTTAATATAGTTTTATTTGATACTATAATATATACAAATAAAAATATTACATATAAAGAGCATGAGTTTACTAAGTTATGGATTACATTCCTATAAAATGAAATTTTTGGGAATTTATTTTGTTTTTCCTTTATAATTTAGTTAATAAAAGTGCTTTTTTCATTTTAAATATAATCAATTTGTTTTATTTCAGGTGGTTTTATATTTAATACAAACATTGAATAAGAAATTGGTGTATGAACTATTGAGTGCTCGGCCGTTGGCATTAAATCATTATATTAGTTTTTTACAAACCGAAGGAAAAATAACTGAATTAACTGATTTATTAACGTAAGAAATATGTGGAATTAAGTTAAATTTATTTGTATTATATAACATTTAATTCCTTTTTATGTAATTTTCAGAATGCTCGGAAGGAGTTCTGAGGCAGCTGTAAGTATTCAATTAATAATCTTTATATATATAATTCTTCTGTGAGTGTGTATGTCACTGAACTCCTCTCAAACGACTGGACCGATTTTGATGAAATTTTTTGTGTGTGTTCAAGGGAATCTGGGAATGGTTTAGATTCACAATTTTGTCCGCTGGACAATGTTTTTTAATAAATTTTTAATTTATTAGTAGTTGTTGATGCAAACGTTTTTTTTTTGACATTAGATTTGACAACTAACTAATATGTCAATCATTATGTCGCACTTCAAAACACGGACATTTATGGCTTTAATAGGTAAACTCCAAAAATATAATTTAAAAAAGTTACAGATATTTCTTGATTATAGGGCAATACGAAGTTAATATACAGAGTGACTGGTGAATTACTATCAATATTTAAGGAGCATACTCGGTACATGATTCTCATTCGAATTATGTAAAAAAAATAGGTACTTAATTTTTGACCAAATTTCCGTATAAATAAATAAAGTGTGTACACGTTCCAAGTGTTCCAAGTGTGAACGCGTGCGGCGGCGTGCTGATACAACAACACGCCACCGCGCGCGTATGTGTGTGTGTGTGTATACCTAATCTGTAGGGTGTTCATACGATGCGTAATTAATTACATAACTTTTGGTTAACTTTACTTAGAAGTTTATTAATATTTATGTTATATTAATTTTTATTTTGTCATATATGATCGTCAAATATCACGTCCTCAAATATCGATAGTAATTCACCAGTCACCCTGTATATGTATAATTAATAATTATATTAATTTATGATGTATATATTTTTCCAGGTGTTTCAATTCCAGCACATAGTAAAAACCCAAGGCAACAGTATCGATGGTTTGTTACGAAAAGTTAATAATTTACTTTCAAATCATTTCAATCAACCTGGAATGGATGCACACCAGAACAAAATGGTAGCTGATTATATAAAACTATTAGGTATAATATATATAAAAACTTCTTGAAAATATACTAACTATCCCTACTAATATTATAAATGCGAAAGTAACTCTGTATGTCTGTCTGTCTGTTACGCTTTCACGCATAACCTACTGAACTGATTTTAATGAAATTTAATGAAATGGAAAGAACATAGGATAGGTTTTATCCCAGACTTTTGAAAGGTGCTCTTGGAAACGCGATATACCCGAACTCCACGCTGTGGGCGGAAAGCTAGTATTTAGTAATTAATTTAAAATTAGATATGGTAACATTAATTAAAAACAAATCAATTTTTTCTTAATATAGTTTATTACTTTATACTATTAAAATTCATCTATATTTATATTAATTCATACTATAAAGCTTGTTCTACACTGACAATATTTATATATCATCAGAATGGCAGAAGTGTAGCTCTATCCCAGAGCTCTACAACGCGTCAGCTCTGTCGTGTCTATTACACTGTGTAACACATCATTGGACTGAAGGCGCGGGAAATATGATGTCACCATTGACATTATGTCAGAGACAACAGGTTATAAATAATATGCACAGATTAAAAATATTATATTATACAGTAAATTTACAAATTCTTTTGCAATTTATAGGTAGGTTTTATAAGCTTAGGACAGTTTAAACTAATAATAAAATTAGATGACGTACTTAACTGATAAGATTTGTGTTTATAACAATTTAAAGAAACATAAAAGCATTATTTAGTACAGGTATTTAATTAATGATAATTACTATAGGACGAGCAATTTAATTAATTAAATAACAAATTTACATAAGTAAACTTAAAAACAAAGTCGATTAATTCGTATGAATTCCGAAGATTGCCGAACGAAAACACGAAAATTCACGAACATATGAAACAATACCTCGTGTTTCGAAGTCGGTTAATTAAACAAATATTTTTGTTTCCAGGTGACACCACTTCAGTATGATTGGGTTGTGTTAAACATTCACGCAAACACTAATAAATGGGACATCGTTGAATCTTTGTTCACAAAGAAAGTAAGTTATTCAGGTTGCATGTATGTTTGTTGCTTGTTCCAAATAATTACTAAACTCTTTTTATTATGAATTACTTTGGAGAAATTATATGATTTTTTTTTATTGAAACATATATTATATAAGAAATAATATTACCATATGTTTAAGAGATTTTTTATGAAGATTTATAAGTTTGAAGTCACGTTAGAAACTATTACTATAAATTTAAAAACAGTATTTTTGGAAATTCATAATATTTACTTAAATATTAATGTAATTATATAGTTAGTTATAATCAAAAATTTCATTACAAGTTACTAATAATAATTTATCTTCTAAACTGACTATCATCTGTTAATGTTTCATCAGGATTGGCTCGGCCGCACGACCGTCTCATCACACATACCGATAGAAACATTGATATCTCGTTTAAGCGAACTAAAGGCTTCAATACAAATGATAGCCACTTGCTTAAATAAAGTTACTAACACTGAAGATAGATTGAGATTGGCGCAGAAATATAAGGTAAGAAAACTTATCATCATTCAACGTATTCACGGTGTGGGTGTCGGGTCCATCGTTGTAGTGAGAGGAGCTTCAACAGTGACTGTGACTTGTGACCCAGGTGTAGGTTTACGGGACCCCTATCTAACGAATAAACGTTCACCTCCACTGTACAAGCTCCTCTCTCTACCAAATTTGAAAAGAACCTACTATACCTGCCTTTGAAGTACGTTCCAAGAATGAATTGATGTTTGTTTGTTTGTTTGAACAAAACTCAGTAACTAGAGTATCAAAGTTTTAAAGGATATTAAGTTTTGTTCTATAATGAATTTAAGCCTTGAATATCTTGTGATAAGCTAAGTTAATTTGTTTAAGAAATAAGTAGTACTTAGGAAGTTTTGTCTTAAAGTAATATTATATGGTAATAACTTCTAAATACTAAATCTAAATTGAGAAACCATATACTAGTAGAAGACCCGGCGAACTTCGTACGCCCTTTAATCAAGAAAGATCCGTTACGTTTTTTTAATAATAAATTTAGGTTATACCTTAGCCTCAGAAACATGTTGTGGCTATGCCATTATTCGGTTTATGTTATTGTAAAATCCGCTCATACATAATTTCACATACAAATTCTACCGAATTTGGTGCATGTAGGATCTATATAAACTTTAATTTTTCATTGTGGGTGCCCCTTCAATACCATTTGTGGATGGAATTACGTAAAATAACTAATAAAATAACTAAAAAGGAATATTCCTACCAAATTTCAAGTCTACTACTTATGGTTTCTGAAATATCGTGATTAGTCAATATGTAGGCGAAAGTATATGTATATATATTTTATATGATATATATTATAGTTTTGATCTTATTTCATATAAGCCTTCAAACTTCTCAGCTACTTCTATACCTTACCATACGTTTCAGTAGTCATACTTACTGATTCATTCATTCATTCATTAATGTTCAAATGTATTAAACTGGAAAAGTTCAGTATAATGACGGTGCACACTCATAGTAAATTCGCTTATACCTTCCCATATACAAATATATAATTTTTAGGTACATTCAGTGGTTATAGATATTTACGCGAAACAGAAGGACAGAGACGCACTCACTAACTACAAGATGACTTTAAATCCGCAGTCCGAAGAATACATACTGGCAGAGAACACGAGCAGAGACACGGTATATACATAGTATTGATATATGCTAAATATAAGTTTTACTATGTATGACGTCATAAGTGACGTAATCAAAACGAAATCCTAACTAAGAGTGGGAGATTAAAAATAATGTTGCCCTAACAAATTTTCATTTTCGAAAAAATATACAGGGTGACTGGTGAATTACTATCGATATTTGAGGACGTGATATTTGACGATCATATATGACAAAATAAAAATTCATATAACATAAATATTAATAAACTTCTAAGTAAAGTTAACCAAAAGTTGTGTAATTAATTACGCATCGTGTGAACACCCTACAGATTAGGTATACACTGACACTCACACATACGCGTGTCGTGACGTGGTGTTGTATCAGCACGCCGCCGCACGCGTCCACACTTGAACACTTGGAACGTGTCAACACTTTATTTATTTATACGGAAATTTTGTCAAAAATTAAGTACCTATTTTTTTTACATAATTGGAATGAGAATCATGTCCCGAGTATTCTCCTTAAATATTGATAGTAATTCACCAGTCACCCTGTATATGTATGTATGTATACAAGACATAGTATTCTGATATTTTTATATAGTTATATATATGTATTGAAATAAATATTTTATTGTTTTCGTACAATTGATAATAATTTCACTTTTTTCAGTCAATAAAGTGGAAGAACTGACGGAGCGTTCAAGAGTTTTAAGATAAAAAGAACAATAAGATGACGATATTACTAAATATATATATATATATATATATATATATATATATATATATATATATATATATATATATATATATATATATATATATATATATATATATATATAATTTATAAATTTATTTAAAAAGAATTATGAAAATTATCAAATTATGTACATTTAATAAATGACTCATTTGTGTTAATTCATTTTTTATTGAATCAAATACACTAAATAATTGAAGTTATAACGATTTTTCATTACATAATGTTTATTATAAAAAAAAATATATATATTAATTTAATAAATATTACATAGTGTAAGTAATATTGAATGGACGAATTTGTGGTCACAGCTAGTTTAAAGTAAACCTTTATGTCACGTGTAATATAAAAAAATTCTAAGACATAATGCCTTACTAATCCTACTAATATTATAATTGCGAAAGTTTGTGAGTGTGTGTGTATGTTTGTTACTTCTTCACACTCAAACAGTTGAACCAATTTTGATAAAATTTTGTATACAAAAAGCGGACGTCCAGGAATAACACATAGGCTACTTTACATCCCGGAAATCCGAGGGTAACACCGCGGGGCGCAGCTAGTAAAATATAATCGTTCACATTGAGAAATATCCACTAGATAATAGATTAATAAATCCAAGCTTACTAAATATCTTAATTTTTCTTTAAATAAAATCCTTCCGATGACTTCGGACATTTTACTTTCAATAATTTCCTCCATAATACCTATGATATTTTAAAATGATTCATAATAATAGCGTTGTTATTTGTAAGAATGTAACAGAGAAGCGGAAAGTGATTCGTCAATAATAATATACACTAATTATTATCATTTCCCATTTATTGCAATTAAAGTGCTACAAAACGCTTCCGCTCCGCTATCTCGCGTCAATGTGAACGCACCATAACAAACCATTGTCTATTGTTTCTATATAACAAAGGTACATACTATATGTTATATACTATATAGAAATGTATTTTACTTATATGGCACAAACACGACCTTGTGCATCTTTTTATGTCATAACAATTTTCCCTCGACTTATATTAAACAGATTTTTATATGATTTCATAAATAAATAGAGCATTTGGAGATAAAACATTATTTATTTGTTAATAGAATTAATATTGATTTAAATTAAAAACAGTTTATTCAAGGATTTTATTAGAAAAACACTTCTTAAATGTTAAAAAAAAGTAGCTTAAAAGTTAACTGTTGTTCAGTCGTCATCCCCGCAACAGCATTTGTCATCAACATCAACACCGCACATCTTCAACAGATAAACAAACAACGTGACGCACAGTAAACACCTTAACACCTTCCCACAGGAACCACAATCGCAACAACAACACATGTTAACTTTACTTAACAGTTAACACTTACACTCCAAAAGTACTTTCTTCGTGAGTTAACACTCAAGAATTATATTTAAATGATTGGAATAGTCCTGTCTCATTGATTATCAAGCAATGACTAACAAAGCATTGACACAGTTTAATTTAAAATACTTTACACTTAACTGATCTGAGGTTGTTTTCCCTCGAGGTTACGAAATATAATACCTTCAAAATGACTCAGTAAGGTGTAATATTTGTAAATAAGGTGACTTATCAGACTCGATAAGATAAAGTAAGTAACAAAATGTTTTATTAATACGTTTATATTTTTGATATATAACATTTTATGTGTTCATTAATTAAATTCGTATTATGATGACATTTAATTATTAGAATTGTGATTTGGGTTTTGGATGTTATCTTTGTCATTATTATGATTAAATTAATCATTCAATAATTAAAGAAATGAAGTCAGTTACTAATTGGTTTATTGTTAAAATTAAATTATTTGAATGTATTTTTTTTTCCCTATACATGTTGTTGATAAGATTTGATTAACTCGAAAGAACATACCTACTATTAATGACGTGTAAAATGATTGTCGCTCCCTAGAGCCGAAATTAAAGAGGTCCTGATAATATTTTTAAAAATAAACCGTTGACAGTTATTTGACAGATACCTTTACTTATAGTCTACATTTACATTTCGGATATTTAAATTTTAATTGTTATGTCTATCTTTAATATCTAATTGCTTTAGGTACTTACTCCAATCAAAGATTGACTTTATATATTAATAATATAAATATTAATGTCATACAAAGTTTATTGTGGGAAACATATTACATAACTGTCACTCGAGCTAGGACTTTCAATGAAAAAGGTCTACTACATAATAATATAATAATAAATCGCAACAAGCAACATTCCAAGGCTTGTTAATTTCCAAATTGTGTTTACTAATACATATTTATCACTGCAGGCAGAGATAAAAAAATATTATCAGTTCATATCAAAAAGATCTAAGTATACAGATGACAGCATAATGACAACTATGACGTCAAAATAAACGCTATAATAATAATCAGGAAAAATCAGAAACGAAAATGTTCTTATATATTTATTTTATATGCGCGGAGTCTCTTCAATGTGTTGTTGCAACTTTTGCGGCAGCCTACGATTCATATTTTGCTTTACATTTATAGCGTACGCTCTGCATTTGTGTGGCGTTGAATTGGACTGTCAATGTGGTAAATGTTGTGATCCGGGTGACGAATAAATTCTGTTGTTGGACGACTATCATTTATCTGTTGTTTCATTTCAATCCATATCTTCCATAACGCAATCTTCACAACACTCTTCGACGCCGCACAATCGTAGCAACCAAATGCAGCAAGCTATACAACACAGGATACGTAAACATCGGCAGCAACAGTTGCTACAACAGCAGCACATTTCAGCAATTCATGCTTTTGAATTTATGTTAAATTTTTTGTTTTTTTATATTAAATTCATTTCTAAACTGGAGTTTTCGCTACTTACTTGAAGTAAGTTGCTTAGCTTTCTCATTAATCCCAGTAGTTACATTTTAAATTGATTTCTTGTGCTTATTCCATGAATAAGTATTTTTTTTATCTCGTTGCGAATTTCTTATTACAACTAAATTACATTTTTAATTCTTAAATTTATTAAACCCAGGTTCGAGGGTGACATTGACAGTTTGACATATGTTATAAATTTTTATTTTTTTAAATTAATTTATATAAAGGTGTGAAGTTATGTTCTCTTTCATAACTGAGTCGATTCATTTTAAATCCGATTTTCATTAGCAACTGTTTTCAGTATCTTTTCGGACAACCAATCATTATGAAACCAATGAGCACTAAGTAACTGAATTATTAAATATTATTCAGATAAAAACAATTTCGTGTCCTAGTATTAAGTTTTCTGTTTACATAAACCAGTATTTTGCTTAGTATGAATTGATGTACAATAGCATAGCTATACGTAATATCACCGCTAGGTGGTAGATCCTAGCTGTTCTCAAGTTACTACAGCTCGAATATGGATTGGCTCGACCGAGGAAGTACCACTCTCTCACAGAAGATCGGCGTGAAGTAGTCATTAATGGGTGTTTTTTGTTAAATGATTGAGAGAGCCGATTTCCTATCTCTGTTTCCACCCTTTTCTATCTCCCTCTTCGACAAGGTCGGCAACGCATCCGCTACATCCCTTATGCTACAGATGTAAATGAGCGTTTGTAACTATGTACCTTCTATCAAGAAGGCCGCCTTCTCGTTTACCACCTTCATATAAAAAATCAGAATATCATATAAGATATATACTTTAGATGTTCATTTGGTGTAAATCCTGCGATAACACGGCATAAGTAATGAATCGTACAGAGTACTAAGTTACTTATCACAGATTAGGTACAGATATGGTTTCCGTTCTGTTACTATGACTAATCTTTAAAGCACACATTCTCTTCCTCCCAAACAATATGGTATTAAACTGTTTTTAAACAATATATTATATTCTTCATTATATTATAATACACTTGCAATTTGATTGCTTTTCTGTGAACTGCTTTATTTTACATAAAAAATCATAAACAAGCCCCCAAAACGCTATAAACGCCACACATATGCGTCACGTGACATGATTACATCACATGATAACAAAACAAACATTTTGTTTTACTTATCAAGTCGTCAAAATAATATGTACATATGAGATTTGATATTCAGGGTAACTTTGATAAGATTATGTACAGTTAAAATGACTCAAACAGTTTATAGCCCCAAAATGTACGAATGAAACCGAATAAAATGCTCGTTGACATTCGCTCCGAAGAACATCCCAGATGAAGTAGGTAAATCCCCTCTTACGTTGTAACGTAAACTTTATAGTGTATTTTCTGTTGTGTCCTTACATATAAAATTGGGTTTTGTCGTACCCTTCACTTTGTTCTCAAATTCTCCACTTTGGCTAGGAATTCCAATAGCAAATTTACCCAGATATTTACTCTTGTATATGGGACCGTTCAAGTATTACGTAAGCAGATTTATTACAAATATTTACCCCCCCCCCTCCCCCTTGTCAGCAAAAGTAAGCAAAGCTCTTACCCCCACCCCCCATGCTTACGTAAACATTTTCAATTACTGTATTGTTTTTTTTTAAATATAAATCCATAAAAAAATTGTAATTATAATTTTTTATGGATGATCTCGATGTGATGATAAAAAAGTAAATAACTACCGATGACGTAATCATCATCAAGACTCCCCTACCCCCCATGTCATCCAAAATAAGCAAAGCAAAGACCCCCCGCCCCTCCATAGTGCTTACGTAATACTTGAACGACCCCTATGTATTTAGAAATCCATGTTTTTTCATCTTTGGTTTATTATTTACGTCACTCAGTTTACAAAATGGGGAACATCAAATTAAATTTCTAATTATTCGTAAATTTTTTTTATGGGAAAAGGTAGGGTAGGGTTTTATGGGTAGGTAGTAACCGTCGCCCATGGACATCTGCAACGTAGGTTTGCAGATGTATTACCGCCCTTGATGGGGGAAAAGGGGGAGAAAAAGGTGGGGAAGGGAGGGAAAGGAAAGGGCAGGAATTTTATTCATTTAATAAAACTAAATTTTTGTATAATATATTTATTCAACTCGTGCTTGGTTTTTCAAGTGAAGGTTAAACCCTGTGTCTCTATAGAGCTGCTCAACGTCATCTTGGTCAATCATGAGAGACCCCTGATAACAACGTTTACATAAAAACCTATTTATTACATAATATACTACTAAATATTATATAAGAATAAGTATGAACAAGAAATATTCTTAGTACCATATCATTTTATAGGAAATAAAATATGATAGAAAAGTATTTTATGATCTAGAAATTGATAGGATTGTAAAGATTTAAATGATTTCATCTTAGATAAAATACTATTGGTGAAGTTTATTGAGACGCAGCAGTTTTTTTTTTTGAAAACTCTTACCTCTACTTTGATAACGATAAAATTTACTTTTTTTGATAAATTTTAAACCATAATATTGTCTTAATAACTTCCTCATCTTAAATTGTAGGTAAATTAAGATTACATGTTGTCTAATCTTATCTGAATTGAATTAATAATATGATCTTACTATTCTTGGCTTTTGTCGAAGTTTTCCAAGCGGCTTATTTAATAAAGCCTTTGCTCCAGGTCTAAAAAATGTTTTAAATTTAATGTATCAGACAATCAACAAATGAAAAAATATACTTTTGTAAAAAAAACCTAATTCACTTTCGAAACCGACCTCATTTGTCGTATTCTTGATTGTTTCCATCTATGCCTTGGGGTAGATTCCTGAAAAAAAAAATACTTTAAAAAGTCAACATTCTGTTTCGATAATAATTGACAAACAAGTGGTGTAGCAATAAAGTTTTTTTTTAAATTGTCGTTCCTATACAAGCATGAAATTAGGATAGTCATTGATGTCATTTAGTTAGTGTCATCTGTCATAATTACATCTGTCAGCTGTCATATATCACAAAGTATCAAGTTTCAGCTGTCAACTGTCAACTGTCATATGTCAAATTTAACAAATAGTATTTTGACAGATGTCAACCAAATTTTATTTAATTTATATTACTCGAGGTAACTGGTGTCCAGCCTCTGTACTGATTCTTCTAGAATACTCGGAGATTATAAAGTCATCTGGATGTTCGTTAAATTTTTTGTGAGCCCCGAACAGCTTCGCTTCCCCTTTATTTTCTTGATCTTCCCTGCAATATTCAAAATAAAAGAAACATTTTATTCATAAAACTACAAATATTTAAGAACTAAGTTTTATTAGCATCCAATTGAACTCCTTAGTAGTTTAGAAATTAATTAGTTATTTATTTATTTATTTTTAACCCTTTCTTTTTTAATAGTTATTCATGAATTTTAGTAAATATATGAGATAAAAATTTACATCACAAAAAAAATATAGAATTCCAAGATCTACTATTAAAAATATTCTCAAAACGGCTACAATTAAAATAATTTTCAATACTCTTTGTGTTATACCATTAATCTAATTATTAATAACATCATTCCTATAACCTCATGTCTGCATGTGTCGGCCATAACTCCCATCGGTTATACTTCCTCCAATTCATACTCGTCCTTATACTATTCCTCATTTTCATTCTTTCAAACTTCTGTTTCAGTGATTCAGATGTTTTCTGGTCACTTACTTCTGTCATAATTAAAACAGCAAATACATTATTTCATCTAATTTAAGTCATTTAACCGTTTTTTATTATACCTGAATGTTTTAACCATGTATATCTTCTTGGTATTGAAAGCGTATTACGCTTTTTGGTTGTTTCGTCATATTTATATGTTTTAATATAATATCGTGTAGTTATTTCCGTGATTGTGTCCTGTACCTCCTCATTCTCTGGTTCGTTCTGATAATCATTGTAAAGCTCGGTTTCTTCATTTTCCGTGTCTAAAGATCTCTTGATCTGAAATATAATGCCTTATACGAAAATATTTAAGAACACATTATTTTATACACCCATAAAGTATGGAATAATCTATCATTATTTGTTCATTTAAATATAAAATTTTAAGACAAAATTTTTTAGACTTTAATGCTCTAATCTTCTCCATGTGAGAAGATGCCTTTGCTCAGCATAAATAGGCTGATAATGAATTAAACAGTTGTGGTATTTCTCAGATTTTCTTAAGTAAAGCTTCATTATTATCAATAAAAAGCTGATTTATTAATAACTTATTTGCGTACGTTTAGTAATAGACCACTTTTAAAACATAATTAAATTATAGTAGAATGAAACTCATTAGAAAAGGAGGGGAATATTATAAAAATTAAAATTAAAATAATTTACGGGCGATCTGAGCTCGGGAAGGGTATGGGGATGGGTATTTAATGGTAAAAAATTATTTTTCCTTTTATTTTTATAATATTATCCTCCTTTTCGAATGAGTTTCATTTTACTTTAATTTATTTTCACTTTTCATTAAATTTAAAGGCTTCTGCACTGGCCTATAAGTAGATACTGTAAATTAAACTCACAGGAGCACACAACAAAGGGTAAGGACTTCGTTGTTTCCTCACTGTATGAATCGGACACGCGGCAAGTGGTCCCGGGGATATTGTCTTCTGTCCTAACATGTTAGTGTGAGAGAAGTCACAGACTAACAGCAAGCGAGTGTACTCCCATCCGTGTATAACGGCGCCACAACCGACGGCTCTCAAAGACCAGACCGCTAGTTGACTGAAGTGACCCCAAACACTGCCTCTGTATACATTACTATAGTAAGCATTTTCAAGCAGACCATGGCTAAAGCTGGGAAGTTGCCAGGAAGAAGTAAGCATTATCAAGTTTCAACATTATACATATACATATTAAAGTTAACATTATACATATTAAAGTTAACATTAACTCCAACGGGCATAATATGTGATGTTTGTAACTTTAAATGTTCTGTAAGAGTAAAATTTTAGCGCAAATTTGAATCCTCACTCCATACGGATAGTTCATTCTATCATGTCAGAAGATTAATGAATGAAGAAATAGATATTATTGTATGTAGTTTCATTACGAGAGTGTGATAAGAGCTTTAACTGTTCAATTGTAACATTATTGTAACATTACTAGGAGCGCTATGAAATTGCGTGTAGTATGGCTTTGCTTTTTATACTAATTTACTTTCATAAGAACAATTGTTTTAAATTTTAGAGTACATATCCGTATATCTGTGGATAGAAACATTTAAATCGAAGCAATTTTCTCTCAGTTTAAAATATATCTCAAAAATTTAATGATTTCGATACATTACATCTAAATTTATAATAAAGATCATCAGATGTGGCCATATATCAATAGTTCTATTTCAATATCCCTATTGGCTGGTACTTGGCATTAATCGTACTTGTCAGGTGGTCATACAATTATAATTGTTTGAATATCCCTATTGGCTAGTTGGCATTAATCATACTTGTTGCTAAGTCTGAAGGGTGTAATGAGCTGTTCTGGCAGTACTCTTCGCCTCTCGCCCCACCAAGCGTCCAACACACGTCTCATAGCTCGTTGGACACTGAGCTCCTCTGTACCTCTCCAATGTACTTCACCCACACTCTGACCAGCATATGGATAACGAACTGCGAAGATTTAACACACGAATACTATTTGAACTATTACGTTACTTTATCTAATTAAATAATTTCACTATACACGCAAGAAGATATGATTGTTATAGAATAAGGTTTTATTTACTGTTTTTCCACGTCTTAAAATGGGATTTGAATCTGTGCAAATTCAACTTAAGGACCTCATCTAATTTGCGTTGAAATACTTATCTAGGTACTTGGATTTAGAAAGATATCTTTTTTAAATATTTTTTATCAAGAAAATTACGGTTATGTTATACAGGACTATAAGCTAACCTGTAGCTCGACAATCATCATGAACAAAGTTACATTGATCTGCCAGCCTTTGGGCTAGATAGGCTAGCTCTTTGTCCCATGCCTAAAAAATAAATGTTTATTTAGTAGGTATAGTAGCAAATTACAAAGAAAATATAAATTCGGGATATATTTCTAATCAGTTCATGGTCAGCTGCCCATTGTATGATAAAAGTGTTTTTGAATTCAATTCATTTTATTCATTAGGAACTTGTAGTTCTTAAAGATTTAAAAAAATATATATTGACTTTCGTACATGTTCTCGTTGTAAGAAATTTTAGTTAAATATATCTAAAATAATTAAATTTGTATTTTAAAGGCTAACACGGAATATACATTATAATACAATACATGCCACAAGCATCATGATTTCTGGCCGAGGTAAATGCGCTCCCCCACGAACTCTTTCAGAACCTGAGGCTATACGCTGGCGACGTCTATACGACACAGATTAAAACAACCAGTTATTATTAAAAATGTAATCAAATTGTACTTTGGTATAATGTAATATATGTTATATATCACCTGTTTATATAACTTGTTACGAAATGCTTTAAATCATTTGTGAATATTATTTTTGTATAATTCGTACACGAAGCTCCTGCACCCGGCTGTAGATCAATATTAAGTTACATATAATAAGTAGATCAATATTAAGTTATTAAGACAATAGGAAAAGCTAATAAAGATTTTCTTTAGCATCAAGCTAAAGGTATTACTAAACAGTTGAACTTCGAAGATTTGATGCAATCACTATCTTGAAAATAAGTTTAAAATAGTTCAAATCATTCCACACTTTTTCTAACTAGCTGCGCCCCGCGGTGTTATCCGCGGATTTCCGAGATGTAAAGTAGCCTATATGTTATTAATGGACGTCAGCTTCCTGTATACAAAATTTTATCAAAATCGGTTCAGCCGTTTGCGCGTGAAGAAGTAACAAACACACGCATACTCACAAACTTTCTCAATTATAATATTAGTAGGATAAAATTGAATTTTGTACTTTCGATAAATCATTCATTCTTTTTCAAACCTACTACAACAAAGTAATTTAGTTCGGCTTTTTTAACTTTTTAAGTTATTTCACTATTTATTTTTTTCTACAGGATAAACATTCAAAATTATTAATAGCGGGAAAACTGATTATATACATCATTCATTCACTCATTCATTGTATTATTAACAAAGGTCAAATCAATACATACTTACCAAAGGGAATTGACAAGCAACGTGTCTTCCCTTCCCCATACAGAGCCTTCGGTATCTCAAAGTACAATATGTTTGTTCGTCACTACTCATTGCAGAGGTAATTATTAGAATATCATATAGAAGAATTAGTTTAAAATACATTATAGTATATAAAATTTTCAGCTATATAAAATATATATATATGAATTTTTGTTATTTATTCACCCATAACTCTTATTAACGGCACACTTCATTGTTAATTAAATTTTCTTGCGATTTAAAATATTTTCGTACCCGATATGATATATAAAATACATTTAGAAAAAATATCAAAATAATGAAAAATAAACTACATACAAATAAATATATAATCTGACAACTTCAAAATTGATTATATCAAAAAGGTTAACAGATAAAAAAATAAAAATTATAGATACATGAAAAACAGGAAGAAAATAATATATTTTAGTGTTAGGTGAGTGAAAATTTTTGTTGTTTGTTCGGGTTAAAAGAAAAACAAAACATGATCAGTTAATTTTATTATGAAATACAATAATTTATATCAGGATATTTACAAGGTATGCTTCACGTTTCGCTTACAGACTATACTTAAATAGTTTTTTACATTTCCACGGCACTCTTACAATCAGTGTGGGAAACTACATATTGGATACAAAAAAAAAAACACTCCACTTCCTAGAAAGCTAAAAGAACACACATTTCAACAAAAAAATCATGTTTTGTGAATAAAAAGTAAGCAGTACGTATATAACAATTAAACCCACACTGTGTTGCTAGTTCATAATTAAAATAAAAAAATACACGATACTTCAGTAAAAATAAACTTGGACATAAAAAAATTACTATATCTTTTGATATTTTACTTTATATAAATCTTATTACATAGTAGTGATTGGTTAATTGTTCTTTACATTTATATATAGAAAATAATAATGCGCTAATCATTTAAACATACAGACAGAATTACAAACATGATTGCTTTTTGTGAGGTAGACTAGCGAAACGTATACAAAAACAAATAATAATAAAAAAATATATGACTAGGACTCTTAAAAAAGATTCCATTTTAAAGTCAAAATTAATTAAAAATATATATAAACACACATGTGAATTATTAAAAATAATATCATTATGAGAAATACAATTTTTTTTGGCACCTCGTTAGGGAAAAAATGTGATGTCATATAAATAAATGAATGAAAATTAATAAGTTATAATATATTGCTGTTAAATTGCTTGTATTGATGAACATTAACAACTAATAATACATTTAAAATAAGCAGTAAGAGATTATTCATTGCAATAATATATTGTGATGTTTAATATTCCATTAAATAAATACAATAAAAAATTAATTAAAATTCAAATAAATTCAGTAAGCCATAAAATTTCTAAACGAAATACTCTGACTAAAGAAAATGATAAAATAACTTAAAGATAGAAAAATTGACTGGTTATAATATAACTTAATATAAGCCTTTGAATGGCAGAAGATCAAAATTAAATGTTTAATAAAATATAATGTTAAAGGAATACTATTTATTATAAAACTAAGAATTTACAATATAAATAACTTAATACTAAAAATGGTGTTGTTGTACAATTATTTGAGGGTAGGAAAATATTCAGAATAATATATATGCTACTTATTTTGTGATGAAACTATGTCCCAAGCGTTTTTTAAGTTATATATGTGTATATATTTAGTAAATCTGTAAACTTAAAATCATAATTGTACACAACACCTCTAAATGCCTTCAAGAAACATTTTTATACACGATATATATATGTATGAAAAATATAACTTTACACAATATACAGATCATTGTAACGTGTTTGTGATGATAAAAACTAGTTACGAGTTAAAATAACAGATGGCAGTGAGATCTATGAACAAGTAACTTACTTATTGCTTGAATATTCACCAAATTAATCCAATTGTAACATCTAAAAAAATCATATTGGCATAAATGCATTTGGCAATCTCTTCAACGGAAGTAATTTCTAATGTATTAAAGTTTTTTCTTTCTTATTCATAGTTTAAAAAAAATTCTAGCCGATACAAATTAATTTAAGGAAGCGCGTCGCATACACTACGTTAAGCATATGTTACAGGCCGTATTCTAAATAGGACATTTCATTTAATGTCTACATCAGACGTGAGTATTCAATACGTCCAGTTTTTTGAGCAATGCACTAGAACGCTATTTACATATCTAAGTCCTATTTACATTGCTGCCTCCATCTGAAAAAAATATACACTTTTAATACAAACGAAGTATTATTATACATTCTAATATAAAGCGAAAAGCATATATAAATGTTAATAATACATCCCTACTAATATTATAAATGCGAAAGTAACTCTGTCTGTCTGTCACCACCACTGAACCGATTTTAATGAAATTTGGTACAGAGATAGAGTTGACCTTGAGAAAGAACATAGGATAGTTTATATCCCAGACTGTTGAAAGGTTCTCTTGGAAACACGATATAACCGAACTCCACGCGGGCGGAAAGCTAGTTTAATAATATGTATGTCTTATTAAAGTATAGTTAGACTTATTACGGAAGGTTTTGAGAAACGTTAAACGCTATGTTTGTAGTGTGGAGAGACACACTCGGTGTAAGCATATAATTAGATCAAAACAATTTTTTTCCTGATAAAATTATCTTTTTTCTAATTAGCTGAAAATAAATTTGTTTTTTTTTTCTATATAAAATATTCAGAATTTTAATGGAAATAAATATAATATAATTTGTACAGATGTGTGCAGATATAATGGCGTTGATGCAAATAATAAAATATATATATACTTATAGACAAAATAACGAGCCCTTAACATATAGGTACTAATAGTATGGAATTATATATTATATTAATTTAATATGTACGAAATTATGTAATTTAATATTCTTGTATGAAAATTGATAGGAGATTGTAACGAGATATATAGGTGTATGTGTGTATGTTTCTGGGAATACTCATTAACTAGGGGAGAATAAAAAAAAGGAGGGGAGGGGGGTAGTAGAAATCTCAATTAAACCGAGATATAATTTTATATCTGACGTCGATTTCGCTTGCTTGCCTTTAATATAATTTCCTAAAAAAATCATGTTACTTCAGAATAAGAACCAAAATCGTATAGAACGTTGGTTTCTGTAAACAATTTACATATACCACTTTTTTTATTAATATATAAAGTCTCTATGATAAAATAATTTATTTAACGATTAGAGAGTGGGAAATTATATCACATTTTTTTTTCTTATTATAATATTTTTTGTGTAATGTTTTTATCGTATTTTTTTAAATGTTTTTATTTGTGAATAAGATTGTTATTGTGTTGTAGTGCGACTTTGACCAATAAATATTTTATAATTATTATTATGTTCACCAAAAGAGAATCCAGATACAATATATATCACTTGAGTAATGGAGCCGCTCCTTTATGTACGTATGCGTGTATATTTGTATGTGTGCGTGTCACCTGTCGTGATGGTGAGCGTGTCCGAGCGTGACAAGCGCGGAGGCCAGCGCCAGTCCGCCTTGTGGAGGCGCGCGGCCCGCCCCGCCCTGCGGCAGACGAACTACCAGAGACAGCACCGCCGCCCGCCCCCAACGACAAGGCTCTAGGGCTACTGGGGCGGGGACTCCGCCCTCTGGAAATATATATGACATATACATATAGAGACGGATATATGTTAGTAATAATGTGACATCACTCTCAAAGCTAGGAAGTATCAATTATAGATGAGTGAATATTGTTATAAATATATATCAATAGATGGCGCTGTACAGATATGTTAGAGAGATATTACAAAAAAATGACATCCATTTATATATCCGTGTGCGATCGGCTCAATTATACTAATATTACCCTAGGTCAATGTTAAAAACATTTATTTATATGGAAATCATTCATTTTCATGATAATCTGTCTCTCTCTCACACACACACACACTGTCTGTCTCTCTCTCTCTCACACACACTGTCTGTCTCTCTCTCACACACACTGTCTGCCTCTCTCTTTCTCAATGTCTGTCTGTATCTCGTCATTAGTTCCCATGATTCTCCGTCCCTCTCGCACACACTTTCTGTCTGTATGTCTGTCTCTGTCACTCACCGCCCCCTCCCCTCTCCAGTTCTATGCTCACAGTACTGAACGGTCGTGAGGCCATCTGTTCCATCTCAACGAACAGTCTCTGCCGGCGCCGGTACAAATCGTACTTCTGGAAACGAAATACGCGAAATACAACTTTAATTATATGACATTAGGATTGATAATGGAATAATTAATAGATTGATTGACGCTAAATAGGTTGATGGCTGTGGTTTAAATAGAATACATGACATGTATAAGCACTTTATGTGTAAGTTATTCAATGTAAAGTAAATTTCTTTACGTTTATTTGAATATAATGTATTTTTAAGCATGAATTGATATTTTTGAAATGGAATATATAATATTTTTGTATATTCGTGATATATGTACATTTAATTTGAACCGAATCTTTAAATTCCGAAACGCACTAGAATTGACGTTACCCATACTATAATTGACGTGACCAATACGTGAGTGAGTTTGTTTGTAATTAAATTTAAGTTGTTCAAGGCGGTTTGGTTTAAGATAATCATTAGTTAAAACTCTACAAGACAAGTTAGTTCCGGTTAAGAATGAATTTCTTATTTAAAACTACTCGCATTATAAAAAAACTATATTTTTTAATGATTTTGTTTTGTATGTGTGTGTGTGTGCGCGCGTGCGTGTGTGCGTGTGTGTGCGTGTGTGTGTGTGTGTGTGTGTGTGTGTGTGTGTGTGTGTGTGTATGTGTGTCAAACCTGTTTCATTTTCCACAATGCCGCAGCCACCAAGAGCAGCATCAAAAAGCACGATGAGAACGTAATAAAGAACTGCTGCAAGTTAAGTTTAGGATACTGAGAGAATGATATCTGTATCCATAGAGGCGGGCGGAAATCGTACACGTAAACGAAGAACGTAGTTAACGTTACGTTGTCCTCTACGCCGAACGAATGATCGGACTTGGCGAACCTGAGAACAAACGGCCTTGACGCATTACTATTGATAATACTGTTAAATATATATTGAGAGATGAATTTTATCTCATACATATATTACTAGCTATTCGCCCGTGGAGTTCGGTTATATCGCGTTTCCAAGAGAATATTTCAAAAGTCTGGGATTAAAACTATCCTATGTTCTTTTTCAAGGTCAACTCTATCTCTGTACCGAATTTCATTAAAATCAGTTCAGTTCAGTGGTTTAAGCGTGAAAGCGTAACAGACAGACAGAGTTACTTTCGCATTTATAAATATTAGTAGAGATTTTTATAATAATACAGATTAAAAATTGTAATTAATTTAATAAGTTGGTTGGTTAGAGTAATTGAAAAACATTGATATAATAATATACCATACAAATATATTCTAAAGAATTTTTTGGTCACGTTAGTTAGTCTATTGATATAAGACTAAAATATATAAGCACAGATAAAAATTAAATACATAGATAAAAAAAACTCACTTGTATCTAAAATTAGTGCAATTAACATCACTGAACAATGTCCTTTCAGGGTCAGATTTCGTCCTGACTGTGAGATTCATTCTGGCGTGGGCGGAACAGGTTATACTGAAATCAGCGTCTACATCCGGTTTGACGGGCGCGTTCCGGAAGTTAATGGCGGATAAGTGACGATCCTCCTTCTTTGATAGGTTGAATGTGAACTGATAGTCTACGGCTAGGTCATCTGGAAATATTAATTAATTAATTTATTTATTTAATCCAATAGTGTCTATAATAATTTCATTATAAAATACTAGCTGCGCCCCGCGGTGTTACCCGCGGATTTCCGGGATTTCCGGGATGTAAAGTAGCCTATGTCTTATTCCAGGACGTCAGCTTCCTGTATACAAAGTTTTATCAAAATCGGTTCAGCCGTTTGAGCGTGAAGAAGTAACAAACATACACACACACTCACAAACTTTCGCTATTATAATATTAGTAGGATAACGACACAATTCTAAGACCGGTCAGGATTACACAGATAAGGAAAAATTATAAATTTAAATTATGTCTTAATTATTCATGAATCAATACTAATTAGCAAGATTGTTCGTTGTGTATGCGAATGTGAGTATGTGAGAACAATAGTTTTGTAGCGAAAATGTTTTATTAATCAGAAAAAACTACAACGCCAACTGTTAATTTTAAACCACAACAGTAGCCATAGAAATAAAATGTGTTGCCAACTTAAAATAATAGACGTCGTAATTACATTGTCATTTATAACAATTAAAAACCTTCATGTATTACATTATTATGTAATTTTTGTACGAAGTCTTTAAGTTATATATTACTAGCTAAGCGATGTCACAATCGAGCGTTATTCTTGAAGTAAAATTTGTTATGTGTCTTCCAACTAGGTTGCGTTAAACGAAGAGACAGAGCGGGATTGCTTGGCGTTCGAACGCATGCGGGCAATTAGTTGTGACTTGTAAGTAATATTAATAAGTTTATCTTAAAGGAATTTTAGAAATTCCTTAAAAGTAAATTTCAAAACCCTTTCCCGTATTCATTCATTATAAATTCTCACTTCTTTGCTCGGGGAGACTTCACGCCCTATATGTATACGTGTGTGTGTCTATGTTCATGTGTGTGTGTGTGTGTGTGTGTTTGTGTGTGCGTGTATACTCATTTTTCACTTTTTCCTCCACTCCTTGAGGGACTTCTCGCACTATATATATTGTATGTGTGCGTGCGTGTGTGTGTGTGTGCGTGTACTCACAGTAGCACCCCTTGTTATATAGGTCGGCGTGGTAGTGGTTGGTGTTGTCGCACTTGTCGCATCGATCACCCGCCAGGCCTTTGGTGCTGCAGTAACAGCGGCCCGTGTCCGCCGCGCAAGACACCGCCTGGGCGTTACACTCGCACGCTGGAACACACACACATACATACATAGATACAAGACATTAGGTATAACTAAAGATCAGAGCCCACTGCTGAGCTGCCTCTTCTCACATGGAGAAGATTAGAGCATTAATCACCACGCTTGCTTAACGAGTTGGTGATTTCAAACTTATTATTTGATATAAGTCTGAGTCTCATCACGATGTTTTCCTTCACCGTCTGTCAGTGATGTCTAAATACTATTATACAGTACATAGGACTCGGAAAAATGACATTGGTACTTGCCAGGTTTCGAACCCACGCCCTCGTGCACGTTAGGTCAATTTTTATTTAAATAGATCTGAAAATTTTATTTGACTTTAAAATCATACAGATCTATTAATAGCTGTGACTTCAATAGCAAATATTTGTTAAACAATTTTCAATAACAATTAATAGATGGCAACGCTGTCTCAAAACGAGGTTCTACTTTAACATACATATTATATCTTATATATAAATTTCTCGTGACTCAATGTCCGTTCCCGTACTCCTCCGAAACGGCTGGACCGATTTTCATGAAATTTTTGATCATATTGAGCAGGTCTGAAAATCGACCAACATCTATTTTTCATACCCCTAAGTCACAAGGGATGTGCACACCAAATTTTTGTTTTTGGACCAATTTTTTTGTTTTTATGTGTGTGTGTGTGTGTGTGTGTGTGTGTGTGTGTGTGTGTGTGTGTATGTGTGGTGGCCTAGTGGTTAAAGTCCCAATTCTCATGCATGAGCGCGCGGGTTCGATCCTGGCAAGTACCAAAGAGGTTTTTCCGAGTCATATGTACTTTCTACGAGTATTTAGACACCACTGATTAAGGCATTCCCAAAGAGGGTTGACGTCTACGGCGGCCGGTCGTAAAAACAATTAGCCAAAACTATTTACATATAAGGCAGACTGGCTAAAGCTGGGAAATTGCCAGGTAGATATAAAATACAGGGTGACTGGTGAATTACTATCGATATTTGACGATCATATATGACAAAATAAAAATTAATATAACATAAATATTAATAAACTTCTAAGTTAACCAAAAGTTATGTAATTAATTACGCATCGTGTGAACACCCTACAGATTAGGCATACACACACACACACACACACATACGCGTGCGGCGGCGTAGTGTTGTATCAGCACGCCGCGTCCACACTTGGAACACTTGGAACGAGTCCACACTTTATTTATTTATACGGAAATTTTGTCAAAAATTAAGTACCTATTTTTTTTACATAATTCGAATGAGAATCATGTACCGAGTATTCTCCTTACATATTGATAGTAATTCACCAGTCACCCTGTATATTTATTTAAGATACTAACGCGTGCAAACCCCTCCATTCAGCGGCGTGCCCCAATGTGCGGGCGCACACGTATCACAATGAGGGCCCACCGCCCGCGAGCCGCACGGCTGCACGCAGCGGGACATAGAGTCGCACACCGAGTGACCGTTACATTGACACGACGGACACGACGTGAAGTGCCACCTGGGCGCGGGGTAAAGTTAGTAATATACATATATATAGGAAGCTCTACACTTGATTAATATTGATATTATTTGATTATATTTTAAATGAAACTAAAAAGAAGAAAAACGTTGGTAGTATGTAGATTTTTACGAAAATAAAGTCACATAGTATAATCCGATAAATATTAGTTCCATTTAAATGAATAAAGCTCATGAAAATCTTAGACCTCATTATCTGGTTATTTTTCTGTAATGTTTGATTAATATGTTGGTGATCATCATATTAAAAGATTTTATTCAAAAAATACTATTTAACTACTAAGGTACATATTGTAACCTGAAATTTATAATAAATACTATATGTATATTGTTGGTAATACGTACATTTATATTGTCAATATAATATGTATTCCATGGTAGTGTTTCTATTATTAGCGTGTGACACTATGGTTCAGTAATAATGCCATTTTAATTGAGTTTATTAAGTTTTTTTATAAATAAATGTAACTATAAACAATATAATGACTGTTATTGTTCATATTAAGAACTAGCTTTCAGCCCGCGGCTTCGCCTGCCTGGTATTCGGTTATATCGCGTTTCCAAGAGAACCTTTCAAAAGTCTTTAATGAAAACTATCCTATGTTTTTTCTCAAGATCAACTCTATCTCTGTACCAAATTTCATTAACAGACACAGACAGCGTAACAAACAGACAGACAGAGTTACTTTCGCATTTATAATATTAGTAGTATATACATACCGTCTTCTAGGACATATATGCGGGTGATGCGGATGTCGGTCCCCTCCCGGAAGACATATACCCCTCCCCCCTCCCGCGCCGTCGTCACACCAGCCACACGCGGGCTCCGACAGACACGAGCGACACGACACGTGAGACGAGCAGCCACCCCCCGGAACACCTCCAGAGACCCCCACACCCCCACAGCCACTGGTGGACCACGCGCGACACCCGCCCAATGGAAACGATGCTCCGTATGCATTCTGAATACAACATATATTACAGATTAAACAAGTATCCATTACTGTCTACTATATAAATGTTATGAAACATTATATGAAACAAATTACACACATACACGCACGCACACACACACACACACACACACACACACTCTCTCTCTCTACTCTAGTATACAGTAAGAAATAATTATTTATCATTTATTTACATAGAACGATATGAGACTAAAATATGAGAGGACACTGATTTCTGTAATACAGGCGTTTGAGCCTAGCTCAGAAATCAGGGACTTTATTATACTTTGTAACTTTTTTGTGAATAAATATTTATTATTATTATATGTGTCTGCGTACTACCTCACACTATATACAACTGTTATATCATGCATGTACCCTACACGGAATAGTCATATCTACATTACTATAAAAACTAAAATATTTTCCGTATTTCCCCCCCCCCCTCCCTCCTTCCTCACCTTATCCACACACCTCCCCGCGGAGGCGCACCAGATACACTCCTCAGCGGTACAGTTACCGCACGTAGTATACGACGAGCACGCGGCGCTACACGACCCTGACACACTGGGCGAGCCTCTGGAACATTAATTAGGAATATATATATATTACATAGGATATACGTTTGCGTGTATAAAGTATAACACTAAAATATATGGACAAGGTATTACAGAGATGAGAAAGTTATTTTATAATGATGACGAATAATCACCGTGTAAATAATTGAAGTTTTTAAAACGCGGTATAGTGCGTTTGATTTAAGCTGAGCTTTGTATTTGTGTGAGTCTACACAGATAGTGTAGGTGTGACCAGTGGCGGCTGTACCTTAAGTGCACTCGTGCGCTGAACCACCAATTCAAAAGATTTAAAAATTACAAAATATTACTTTTTCTTTATTTTTAAATTACCATTTTAATATTTATTTTCTGAACATACAAAAATGTATAAAAAATTAAATTTCTAATTATAGTCAAAAAGTTTGAGCGCTTTACCAAACTAATATCTCGTGCGCTTCGGCGAATGCACGAGGACTGCTAATACATCTTGTATGGGATAGGAGTTAATACGCCTGACGCGTGAAACAAAAGATAGTTCATAGAAATGTACCGAGTAATGAGTCGGTTCTCGAGCGCCGCACGAGCGACCGAAGGTTACCGAGAGCACCCGATGTATGACGAATTGGAATTGAAAAGAATCAAAACTTTTCTCCGAAATAACTTGCACTTGCTAAATGCACTTTCTGTGCTTAGTATTGAATAAAAAAAATATATACAAACAATACCCGATTTTAATAAATAGGTGATTGAACATTTCGCTTCGGAAAAATGTCGTTGCATTGATTAATGTATAAAAAATAAACATATTTTATATCAATTGGTTTTTTGTTGCATTTTCTAATTTTAATATTTTAGAAAAGTGCACCACCAGTTCGATAACCCACCAGCCGCCACTGGGTGTGATGTCAAATTTTTGAATGCCACGTTCTTTTCTAGTTTCGAACCGGTTTATTCTGCTTTTACTCCGCCGCGCACCTTCCTCACTTCACCTTTTGTACTAGTAGCAAAATCATATGTTGAAAACGCAATGTCAAGTGAAGAAGAATTTGTATAGTTTTTTCAAATTTTTTATTAATTAATAAAATTTTTTTCCATAATATTCATAATATTTCCATCTTGCCTTTTACAAGTTTTACTTATTTTATAGCATTTACGTTATGTATCAATTTAAACTATAATAGAATTTAATTGTGAAAGTTTTTTGTCTAACTCTACTTTTACTTTCACTCACACAAATGCAAAGCTCAGCTTAAGTCTAACGGATAGACCTTACTGCAATATACATTATCAATGTGACATGTTACTATAGTTCTCCAAATTGTATTATATGTCGCATATTATATAGTATATAATATATATGAACCTTATATCCGTGGACGTGTTGGACGGTCGACACTTCACTGTATCGTAGTCCCAGTAACACGCTCGTTGATTTAAATCTTCTGAGCCCTGGAAAAGGAAAAATTGAAAATATACTTAATATATACAAATATTGTATAAAGTAATATACATAGATTATATCTAAAATGTTATGTGTACCTATATGTGCTGCAATGAAATGACTTATTATAATTTTGTATTTCAAATAAAAGTTTAGTTCTGTTCAGCATTTAAGCTTTGTTTTACTAAGAAATATATTCAATATATCTATCATAGACATACAACAAAGATATTTATTAAATTATTTACTGTTTTCTTGGTATATTAGTTTATGATATACAGATAATTATCATACATACATGGGGATGTCTGTGTAGGTGCGCATGACACGCCGCGCACGAGTGGTAGCGGGAACAAGACGCACCGCTTGGGGGACACTCCGATACTGACAGGGTCACCTGCAAATATATATACGACGAATGATTGGTCGGATATATATGACTGGTCGGACAGATACGACTGGTCGGATAAAAATGCTAACGAAGTGGTGAAATAGGATTGCCAATTTAATAACAGATGCTATGTAAATTCTATTTAAATATAATATAAATACACTAAACAAAATACATTTTTGGTAATTTGTATCTATGTAATTGCTTACAAAACATGTACATATATGTATAGTTCTGATATATGTATACAGTAAAAGACAAGAAAAATGATGAATAGGACTGACTATGATAGAACCGTTTAATTTTTATTAATAAACCATATATCCGATATCCGACGAATCCGACTGGTCGGATATATGAACCAAGTATAACATGAACCGGTCAGTATTCTCACCGGTCCGTGCGCCGATCTGGCTCGTCGGCAGTGATAGGCAGACGGCATGCACGAGCCGCACCACGCACAGCCTAGCGCTGTACACGATTCACACGACGACACGGAACAACGAGACTCGTCTGGAAACAGAAATTATATCATATAACTCAAAGTTAATAAAGTTCATTATAGAGACGGAACTTCTCATCATTCAATGTATTATACGCTCACCTCCACCGTCCAAGCTCCTCTCTCTAACTAATTCAATTTGAAATTTAGTATATAGGGGTTTCGGGGGCGATAAATCGATCGAGCTAGGAATCATTTTTAGAAAATGTTAATTTATTAAAAAAAAAAATAACAAAAAGGAGTCGTTTAAAATATGACTCTTCCTGGCCTCTATTGGCGAATAGTAATACTACTTTTTAGTACTTGCTTTTACTAATTGCTTTAATGACACAACAGCAGATGGCGTTGCTAAGTACCAGGAAGTCAATGAGTGTTTGATTTGAGGTTAGACTAAGAAATTATTGATTTATATTGTTTTGTGTGTTCTTAAGGTGTTTACTTAAAAATGCCTAAACGAAATTAAAAAAAAAATACAAAATAAATGTTATAATTCCTAAATACCGCTTAAGCTAATACCGGCAAAGCTTGGTAACCAGATATTTTTTATTATTATATGTACAGCATTTATTTAATTATTTATTTATGAGAAAGATGGCAAACGAGCAGACGGCATATTTAATGGGCAGTAGTTACACAAATTATGTAAATTCCAAATATAAAACATGGTGTGAATGTTTTGCCGATCTTGATTAAGGGGAAAGGAACGGAAATGCAGCCATCTCTCTCACTCATCGTATGAAACACAGTCATTAAAGTCTACTTCACGCCGATCTTCTGTGAGAGGGTGGTACTTCCCCGGTCGAGTCAGATCATATTCGGGCTGTAGTAACTTGACTAAAAAGCTCTACTTTAAGTTAAATAATTATTTCTAAACTAAGTATATATTTGTTTTACACTCACCGACAGCGGGTTCGTCTATGCAGGCTTTCACGCCATCCGTGAAAGAATCCTTCCAACCTACTTCCTTTATCTGAAATGAACATTAAAAATTTAATTAAAAACCGATATACATAATATATTACATTTACACAATACACTACTGATAATATAATCTATTAATGTCTATGTTGATTAATTAAATTTGCTATATAGATATCACGTAAAGATGGAATATACATATATATTCTTTACAAAGGAAATTAAAACGGATTTTAGGATCCAAATTAACGTTTTAAACGCAAAAAAAAACATTCATAGATAATTCTTAACATCTCTACACAAGTAGAAAACAATTTCGAACCTGTGACATATATAATAATGATTACAATCACTTCACAATCTAAGCTATCATGTCTATACTAGACTATATCTTTGCTCCTATTGGTCGTAGCGTGATGTTATATACCCTATAGCCTTCCCCGATAACTGGATTATCCAACACAAAAAGAATTATTCAATTCAAACCAGTAGTTTCGGATATTAACGCGTTCAAACAAACAAACTCTTCAGCATTATAATATTAGTATAGATATTTTATATTAACTATCAAACAAGACCATTATTCACTAACCCCTACACACAACGTGTCTCTAAGTCTCCACAAACAAGCCACGCCGTGCTTTGCGCTGTTCATACAAGATATTTCGTCTTTATACCACGAACAACGCATACCAGACTCGAAAACTAGCGCGTCCGAACGAAGACGGCCGTCGAAACTGAAATAAACACAGATAAATAAACATTATGTATATAATAAACACAGATTAAACACCATATATATAATAAACACAGATTATAAACACTATGTATATATATTGTGCTAATCATATAATATAAACTAAGGTGATCACTGAAAATCAGCGATCGTTCCTGGGAATATCACAATATATTATCTTAAGTAAATAAAAAGAAATATTTATTTAAACTTCTAATATTTTTTTTGTATGGAATTCCTAAAACGACAGCATATGCTGAGTGATTCTCCTCTTAGTGACATCATACTGCTGTGTAGGCAGCATTTTGTTTTGATTTATTTATACCTTCTATTCTGTAATGTTCATTAGATATTATTTAATTGTATTGTTATTTTGTTTTTGTTTTTTTTTATTTCTATTTATTTGTACTGTCTCGCAAAGATATTCACAAATAAAACATTTTTTTTCTTTCTTTGTCTAATAGTATCGCACCTTATTTGGTAAGTGAAATAACAAGACTAATAGCAAGTCCGTTTAATTAGGTGTATTACAGTACTGAATAATAAAATCAAATGAAATATTATTTATACTAGGCACATTATAATAACGTTGAAAAACGTTGAGTTATTTCTGTTAATAAATAAATTTCTACTATGGTTTACAATGAAATACATCAAGATAATTCATTATGACAAAACATAACAATTATACAACTCTTATCTTTTTTTTCATTCCTGTCAGCCATTAATTAATAATTAATATATTTTTATAACATATATAAAAAATTAGATTCTCACCCGCCATGTATAATAACGGATGGTCTCTTGGCGGGCAAAAGAGCAGCCGCGTGACCCGCGCGGGGGGAGCCCACCATGCCGCCCGCTGACATCCACTTACGACATCTAACGATAATATAATACACATATATATTATTTTATTTATTTATTTATTTATTTATTTTTGTACCAATCGAGTATACAGAAAATTATCAATAACAGATGTGTACAAAGGAACATCTTATCTCTTACAAGAGATCTCTTCCAGAAATCCTGATTAATGGGAGACCATTTGAAATATGGTAGGTACACTATCAACAAACTACTGATTAATTATTATAACATTAAGGTAGACTTTTTATTATTATTATTATTATTATTATAACTTAACATGGATTAAATGTATTAAAAACTGAATGTAGGAATAAATTATAAATATAAAATTATTATGAAGGGGACCAAGAACATATTCGTTGTATCAAGTAATTCGTTGAACTGAAGTTTGTTATGTTGAGAGTAGGTTGGTCTAAAATTTGTTATAAAGAGGTAATAAAACAGTTTTATTTTTTTTAACTTAAATCTTAACCAATAGTGACAAGCAGAACAGTTTACATTACTTTCCATCAAAACAACAATGATTGTCTTATGAACGAAACTATTTTCGGTAGTTAAAAATTCGTTATAAAGAGCTTGTTCGAAAAAAATGTTCGCAATGTGAAGGTATATTTTATGTTGACTGTTGGGGACACTTCAAGAAGATTACGAAGAATTTGTTAAATCGAGGAAGTCGTTATATTAATTATAGGTTGCACTGTATTCTGATGTTCAAAATAAATTATTATAAATGTTCATAAGTGTGACGATCATCGCTACATGTTCATATAATGTATATGTTCGTACCGTGTGTAGTAGAGCAGCGCGTGTGATGCGTAGCATTGAGACGCGCCCGGCGCCGTTAGCGAGGCGGCAGCACTATCGTTGTGGGCGTTACCTCCGAACACTAACATTATACCTGGAAGATATTAACGAAATATATATATAAGTAAGAGTACATAGTAAAATTACTAACTATATAACTGTTAAAAAGAAAAATGTATCAAAATTTGCAACAGGACCCTCTAGATGAAAAATCTATGTAATATATGGTACGTTTTAATATTACTTTCTATTATGTAATTTATTTTTATAATAATAAATCCATTTTGATATTGTTTCATTGAAATAGATAGTCTTGCATATATGTATAATAAAAAGATATAGTCAGTGGTGGCCTAGTGGTTAAAAGGTCCGCCTCTCATGTACGAGGGCGCGGGTTCGATCATGGCAAGTACCAATGTGATTTTTCCGAGTCATATGTACTCTCTAAGAGTATGTAGACATCACTGATTTGATGCATTCCCAAAGAGGGTTGATGTCAGTCACGCGGCCGGTCGTAAAAACAATAAGAAAAAACTATTCACAAAAAGTAAGGCAGACCCTGGCAAAAGCTGGGAAATTGATAAGAAGAAGAAGATTGTTAACTTAATAACTAAATAACTTTACCATTAGCTTTAAAGAATATATTTACTTTCTAGATGAAAAATCTATGGAATATAGCTACGTGTTATATTACTTTCTATTAATTTAATATAAAATATTGAAAAAAAAATAATATTATTTAGTAACTCTGAATTATCTTGCAATTGATATGGTGAAAAGGTATTCAAATTTAAATTTATTTTTTTATTTTTAATACAGAATAAAGTTAATAACTATTTTAAAAATGGCCTCATCGAGACATCGGCTGAATATATAATATTAAAAAAATACACACATATATGTATATACTAGCTTTCCGACCGCAGCTTCGGTTATATCGCGTTTCCAAGAGAACCTTTCAAGAGTCTGGGATAAAAACTATCCCATGTTCTTTCTCAAGGTCAACTCTATCTGTACCAAATTTCATTAAAATCAGTTCAGTGGTTTCGGCGTGAAAGCGTAACAGACAGACAGACAGAGTTACTTTCTCATTTATAATATTAGTAGGGATATTATTAATTACTAAATCTCATTATCTACCTGGCGATATAAATATAGCGGTGTGTAAGTATCTTGGTGTGGGTGCTGACGGTAGAGGGCGCCAAATACGAGCCTCAACTTCATACTCATACAAGGCCGCGGACGGCGCCTGGAAAAAACACTTGTATTAACAACATTAATATTAAAAAGACATATTTTACAAGGGACTTTATAACTAAAGTGAATGGTTTTGTATATCATAATAGAACTATTTAAGGAATACATATGTATTTTTTATTTTTTGTTAGGTCGTGATCACGGAGACTATGAAGAAATCGAAATTTTGATAACAAAATGTGAAATAAGATAATCACAGTTCAATTTTAATATGTATAGATTAAGATACTTAAGTATCACAACTGAGTTTATAGAGAAATGTGTTTTAAAACACCTAATTATCACACGAGTTCATACACTTGAATATAAAAAGCAAGTAGGCAAAACTGACGTATTAGTAATAGGACATAAAGATATAAAATGGCTGCATATATACATTAGTGACTCTTAAAAGTCACTCATCTTAAGTTTATAACTTCGTCAGTGAATTCATGTCCAACGTAAAAAGATAATGTAATAACAAAGCGTTGCCTAGCAACCGTGTACACATAAATTTTCAGAATCTTTTAACCGTAATATCTATATTTGCTTAACAATTTTAGGTTAAACTTTTCTGTAATATCATGTCATGAGCTCTATAGTTAATCTCTTATAACATGAAACCCCGCCCCTCTATCCGTCTCTTTCTATCTATATATCTATCTCTCTCCCACCTGAGTAGCTTCCGATTCTGATACAAGTCCCGCGTGTACATACACCCTCGCAGAGAGTGCATCCCACACTGCAGTGTGAGCAAACCCTCCCCTGGCAGGCCAGCCACGCGTCTGCGCTACACCCCATGCTTTCTCCTCTATATAATACTCCTGGAATATAAAATAATAATTAATGTACTAAAAAAATAATAAACATAAACATATAGACTGATAGTATATAGAATCATTCGGTTTAAAGACATTTTTTTCTCATAAAGAACACAAAAGTTCACTTATAATATGAAATTACAATAATTTTGCATGAGGGTACATTTAAAAGTCTGCCTTAAGAATTATGTAAAATAAAATGTGGAATCATTACCAATATAAACAATATTTAATTACAAATTAATACACTAGTTTTAATAGGAATCAAATATTATTATTAGTCAGTGGACATTACAATTATATGATTGACCTTACAAGAGTGGCTTATTTGTTACATTAATAAGATTGAATGATTCATGTTTCGATTAAATGCGAACATATGCGACAGTCATAACTAAATTTTATTAAATTTTACAATGTTAATGCATGGATTAGTTCAACGTGTAATGATAGGACAATAATGTTACACTATTTGACATTTTCAACCAAACAATAGAAATATTGCAGGGAACTAACTATCGAATGAAAAAACCGCATCAAAATAGGTCGATCCATTTATAAGCTATTCTCACACACATACATTCAAACTAAGACAACATCTAATTTCCAAACAGTTTTATCAATAACACAATCTATTTATTTGTAATCGGTCAAGTTATTTATAACCAACATTTACTTTTCTACCTGGCAATTCCCCAGCTTTAGCCAGGGTCTGCCTTGATAACCAACCTGTACTAGATGCAGGTATCCATAGTGTGGTGAGTGACCGAAGAACACCAACATGACTGGTTTGGAAGTGGGGCCGATGTGAACCAATACTGATGTGTGACCTGATAGATGGAGACCGCCTGGAATAGATATAGATAGATATATAGATAGATAGAGAGCATCTGATGACGTCATTAATACTGTTGATTTAAAGTTTATCGAAATCCGTGACTGATATTTGTTTTAAACTCATATAATATTTGTGATCTATATATAATAAAATTTAGTTAACACGTTAAACGAAATGCGGGTCACCGGTGACCTCACCTTTCCTCTATCGTAGCGCTATGGGGCCTTCCTCTATTAACGTAAAGTCATATTGAAACTATGTGCATACTTTTTCTCGCCGTCGGTCATACTGACTGTTACTTTATTTGTATTCCGTGACCGGCACAGCGCTCTAGAACTATAATTATGACCTCAGCTATGTATTTGAATGTAACTATGTAACCCATGTACAGAATTGAATAAAACTTATTTTCTATACGTATCGTAACATAATAAACAAATTACGGACTAAAAGTATTTTTACGATTTTTATTTTTTTCTATCGGCGTTTAACGTTTTAAAAATCATTTTTAGGTGTAGATAAAGCTGTCGTGTTACGTCTAGACATGACATTAGCAAATATGTCTATATATAATGTAGTCTTCTTCTTCTTCTACCTGGCAATTTCCCAGCTATAGCCAGGGTCTGCCTTACATGTTGTGAATAGTTTTTGGCTATTTGTTTTTACGACCGGCCGCTTGCCTGACATCAACCCTCTTTTGGGAATCAACATTAATCAGTGATGTCTAAATACTCTTAGAAAGTACATATGATTCGGAAAAATCACATTGGTACCTGTCCGGGTCAGAATCGAACCCGCGCCCTCGGCGACGAGAGGCCGAGAGGCGGGCCCTTTAACCACTGAGCCACTACTGACTATCTATATATAATGTCTATATATAATGTAGTGAATAGTACATAATCTATGTGAGACGTCATACCACAGTGGTCGAAGGGCGCCGGGTGGTGCGGCGAGCATGTCCGCGGGGTGTCGTTAGTCCAGTGTACGAAGACCCCCGAAATTCGCCCCGTCCATATTTCGTTACTGACAGACGCAGCGCGACCCTCCACGCCGGCTAAACCCCCGCTGGAAATAATATAAATATATACACATTAAAACCATTTAGAAATAGATTTTAAATAGTTTAGCTTATATTAAGAGTAATTTTATTCGCATTGACACCAAAATTCAGTCAGTCAGATCCATCTATTAATTATCAATTCTATGTACCTTACCACTTATTACAAGTACCGTCATTCCGTCTGAATTTGTACGAATTTCTTTATAAAACTATAAAAAATATATTACACCTAAAGTTTTTTATGAATAAAAGCGTAGATCTTGACATATAATATTGGTTTTATTCTTGTAACAATTATAGTGGACAGGTTATAACAAAAGGTGAGAGATGATAGACAACATGCTGTGACTACGTGACATTGACATTACTAACTTAACTTCATTAAAATTCATTCAATACTATCTTAATCAAACAAACATATAAATTTTCAAACTAAATGTCCATAATACTAATGATTTCCTATATTAATACATTATTTTACATATATCTTACCTCCTTTCTAGTTCGTCGTTCACTACAACCCCTCCATAGACAATAATCTCCTCTCCGTACACTATGGCTGTGTGAGCGAACCTCATTTGCGGCGCCTTACCGCGCGCCTCTACTACTTTCCATTCCTTAAGGCTCGGTTTATATCTGGAAATAATACAATATATAATAATTACTTAATTTTTTAGTTGTTTCTATAAGTTAGATTGGTTTAATAGCAGTTATTTGTTATAATCAAGAACACCTATATTATAAGCATGAGATTTTTCATCCTAATCATCTATCTATCCTATAGTGAATGAATTTTTAATACAAATTCACCATAGTTACTTATAGCTTCGATATAAAGTGAATTATTTACATATCGGCACAAACTGACATAGAGTTCCGTAGAAATTTGTTCAGCATATTTTAGGTGAAAATCGGAACAAATAGCAACCCATACATACATACATCCATACAAACTTAACATTAATATATAATACCTGTACATAAACGCTGCATCTTGAAACATTTCCCCTCCCACCATTATAATATCATCTCCATAGTTGACGAGCACGTGGCCGGCTGTCGGCGGCGGCATGTTCCGTGGGCGTTCACCCCCCTCCCCCTCCTCGCGCCATGCCCACTCCCAGCCGGATATAAACGCGTCCCGGCTGCAATCCGCGCCAGTCTTGGACGGCGTGCACACGCAGCCAGACGATGTGCACGAACCCGCTCCGTACATAGCGTTACAATCGTCTGGATAAAATAAATAATTACTGTAGTAATAATTTATGAAAACTGTCAAAAAAATCGCGGGGTTAAAAAGAAAGAAATCAAAATTATTTATACTCTAAAAACAAAATGTTTTGTCTTTATCGTAGAAATAGGCCCCTTCATCGCTGGAAAATTTATTCAATCGAAGTTCTTATTTCATTATTGAGAATAAATAATAATCACTTAGGGCTAAATCTTGACCACGGGGCGGCCTGCGTACTGGCGGCCATGCCTCCTCTGGACATCGATGCACTTGTGCTTGCGGAGGTGTATCGAAGCAGAGTTGAGGCACAACAGCGGGGAGGAGCGCCTGCTCTTGTAAACATAGAGCAGGCCCGAGTAGAGGCCCAGAGAGAGGCACTACACCGGTGGCAGGAGGCACTTGCCAATCCCACCGCTGGTCACTGGACGATAGAGGCTTTTCGTCCAGTATTAGTGGAGTGGGTGGGGTGCCAGCGGGGCAGCCTAACCTTCCGTCTGGTGCAGATCTTGACTGGACATGGTTGTTTCGGTCACTATCTGCACCGGGTGGCAAGAAGAGAGGAAACGCCGCAGTGTCACCACTGTGGCGATCCTGATGATACGGCCGAGCACACCCTATCAGTGTGCCCGGCATGGAGAAATGAGCGCCGTGTACTCACTGCGGCGCTCAGCGGGAGGATCCTGTCGCTTCCAAACATGGTGAAAGCTATGGTTGGAAGCCAGGAGGCATGGGAGGCTGCTGCTTGTTTCGCCGAAGCAGTAATGTCGGCGAAGGAAGCTGCGGAGAGGGAGCGGGAGGAGGATGCTCTAGCCGCTCCCCTCCGGCGTAGACGTACGGGTCGGAGGAGACGGGTGAACCTGTAACCTTCGACCTGGAAGTTCGACCAGCCTGCGTCAAGTGGCACTGATGCAGGCATTGCACATGGTCAACACGTCTGGGGATTATCTCGGCTCTCCCGGGTAATCCCCCATCGGCGCGGTAGCCCGGCACAGTAGCTGGGCAGCCCGGGGGTGAATTGCAATAGCAGGTCCCAAATCACCCCCAAATACGGGCAGGAAGGGAAGCCGGGGAGTTTTAGTGGGTATTCCCAGGGCCAACAACATCAGGCTCTGGGCGACCCCCACACAAGTCCCACTGTCGAGCCAGGGCAGTGGGTAGTCTGTAAGCGGATTTCTCCCCGAAAAAAAAAAAAAAAAAAAAAAAAAAAAAAAAAAAAAAAAAAAGGCTAAATCTTGACAATAGGGAGTAGAGACAAGTAGTACACGTAAAAATAGTGACACTTTTCCCCCACCATACATATACAACGAACTTATATACTAGTAGATAATACTTACTCGGACATAAAGGATGATCACACGCTACCCCGAGCCAATCATCATCACACCGACACGATCCTTCTTCACACTCACCGTGATCTGAAATAAAATTACTTTAATATTACGAAAACATAAAGAAAATATATAAAATTTCACGTAAGACATATAATCTTTATTATTAGTAAGTTATAATAATAATAAACTTTTATTGGTTAAAAGATTACACCACTACAAAACAAACAACAATATAAAAATCAATAACAATAACGATAAGTATTCATCAGTGTAATCTAACCAAAAGGAGAACCACTCAGTGAAAAATAGAAGCAATGTTGCTTCTACACTGATTTTCAGTGATCTCCTAAGGTTGCGGCACTGACTGACTAAGTTAAAAGAATGTCTCTAAATTTAAACCGTGTAGAAACCTTAGTTAAATATATTTTGACTAAAGTACTTTATAACCATAATAGACAGGAAAGATTTTATTATTAAATGGAATGCTGAAAATAATAAATGATTTTTAAGAAAACTAAATTTAATCTTTAACGTGAGTCAAAGCACCGAAAAATATAGAAAAAGATTTTACACATAAGTACATATGAAAAAATTAAATATATAGATTATACTTTTTTACTTATGAAGTCTCTAATAATAAACTAATAAAAAAAATCACAAAAAACCTAAAATATTTCCTTGCTAATAACTCACTTTATTTATATAGAATAAATATTAACACAAATTTAACAAATACCTAAATCGAGTGAAATCAATCCAAAACACGAACAACAATAAGTCAACATATCTGAAAGCATTTGAAGTGTCCTTTGACCTTGTGTTAAAGGTCAACTATTGAGGTTACAACGTCTTTGTTAAAATTAAAAACGTTTAACTATCAGTTAACAAAGTGAAAATTAACACCAACATATGAACAGCTTACTTTTAGTAAGCTAATTTATAACCATAACTAGCTTTCCGCCCTCAGCTTCGCCCGCGTGGAGTTCGGTTATATCGCGTTTCCAAGAGAACCTTTCAAGTCTGGGATAAAAACTATCCTATGTTCTTTCTCAAGGTCAACTCTATCTCTGTACCAAATTTCATAAAAATCAGTTCAGTGGTTTAAGCGTAAATGCGTAACAGACAGACAGAGTTACTTTCGCATTTATAATATTAGTAGGGATAATATAAAAGATATTCTTACTTAATACTAAGTGACGTCATAGCATGTTGCATATGCACAATATAACTCAGAATTTAGTATACGAAATTTCAGTATAAAAATAGTAAGGTACAAAATAAAAGTAAACTGTATTTCTACAATCCCTTTAAATGCTATCGTTTCAGTCAAGACATGAGTAATCCTTGGAAGCCTTACGTATACGTCTGGCGAGGCAGTAATCGTACGAAAGATACTTTAAATTGTTTTGAGGATATTATTCAGACTTTAAATTTAAAATCGGCTTTAAATTTAAACTATCTTCATACAATAACACATCATCTTAAGTTTCTTTGTAACTTCGTCAGTGAATTCATGTCCAACGTAAAGTGATAATGTTTAATAACAAAGCGTTGCCTAGCAACCGTGTACATATAACTACTGAGGATCTTTTCGCAGTGATAAATTTCAATACATTTTTATTTTGTTTAGAATTTAATATTCAATTTATTTAATATATTAGGGAAAGTGTTTTTAAACGGGGATCTTGTAATATCTTTATCTGTCAACTAAATACTTTAAGTTTATAACAATCGAAAAATCTTTGAAAGTTTCGGTTTTAAGTTAACAACAGATTTAAAGATAACATTTTACATTGTACTAGTTTTTGCCCGCAACTTATTCCTACACATATATACATATCCCTACACCTGTTCTTGAGTTATCAATAGTGTAACTAACATTTTCCTTTATATATCCTACTAATATTATAATTGTGAATGTTTGTGAGTGTGTATGTTTGTTACTTCTTCACGCTCAAACGTCTGAACCGATTTTATAAAATTTTGTATACAGGAAGCTGACGTCTAGACTATAGGCTAGGCTAGTTTACATCCCGGAAATCCGCGGATAACAACGCGGCGCGCAGCTAGTGTCTATATATTTACATACCGGAGCAGTTTGTCCTATGGTCGTTTGACGGGCAGGAGTATGCATCGTAGGTGAGATTAAATCCTTCCATAGCGTAAGCATCGTCAGAGAAGAAATGCAATAACACACTACCTGAACGGGCTATAACTTGACGAGTCCAATTTGATTCGTTTTTGTCTAAAACCCCACTGAAAATATAAGAAATAATAAATAAAATGTCAGGCAAGTCAGGTAGCTATAGTAGTATGTGATTAGGAGAAATTTTTAAAAGGGAAATTATTAGAGAATACTTGGGTCTCCTTCTGTAGGTTTTCATTAATATTTCAAACGGATAATAATCATTATAATTTATGTTATATTTATATGGAATGGATTTTGTATAGATTTTTTTAACATGTTAACAATTTTATACATTCCAATTCAAATATAATCAAAAACAATAATGATAATATAGACATTTATAATATTAATTATTTTCTTAATGTTTGCTATTACAGAATAATTGTAACAATTATATTAGCATCACAAATTATAACAAATTTACTTGATAGAGGCTAGCCAGTTGTGTCGTGACTGGAATGTAACAAACAACTTTTATATATACGAAATAGTTATTAATTCATAAATATTTGACCGAACACATAGAATAACTATGTAAGAAAAGGAGATAATATGTATATATTTTTAACATAATATATACTCAAATAAGTATATAACATATTATGTATTACTGAAGCTATTCAATCAAAATATACAGCCACGGGCAAAAGTATTAGGCACCCTACAGTAAGATAAGTTTTAGGGTGTTTTAGCATAGCGAGTGTAAATAAAACTGCATTTATGATTACAATGGTTTAATTTAAGAAAATAATTAATATTTTGTAGGTCCACCTTTTGACTTAATAACCGCAGCAACTCTTTTTGGCATTGACTCTACCAGCCTGAAACATTCTTCTCTTGATATATTTTTCCATTCCTGCTGTAACGCGGCCAATAGAGCTTGTTTATTGCTAATCGAGTGCCTGCGGATATTTTTCTTTAAAATGGACCAAATATGCTCAATCGGGTTGAGGTCTGGTGATTGTGGTGGCCAGTCCAAAAGATCAATATGATTTTCAGCAAACCACTTCATGGTATGCGCGGACTTGTGGCAAGTGGCGTTGTCTTGCTGAAATTTCAGGCCATCGGTGTTTGTATCACCGAAAATTTGCGTTATCGACGTTGCTAGTGCTGTTTCCAGAACTTCAGTGTATTTAATACTATTCATTCGTCCCTCACACAACATCATTTCGCCCACTCCGTCGGCAGCCATGCAGCCCCAGATCATTATTGAGCCTCCACCATGCTTAACAGTGGGAACCACACATTCTGGGTTGTATTCTTCGCCAACCCTTCGCCTAACATAAGTCACACCGGGTGTTCCAAACACCTATGCCTAACGAAAAAAACACATTTATTTTCAAAGTTATTATTTTTCTTGCAGTACGTTATTTTAAAAACATTTATGTGTTTTAATATTGTACATAAAATAAATAACAATACCTCAAAGTTGGATTCGTCTGACCACAGTATGTTGGACCAATCTTCCACTGACCAATCTCTATGTTTGAGTGCCCACTCCAACCGATTTTTCTTATTGTGTTCTGACAGCCACGGCTTCTTCCTTGCTTTACATCCTTTTAATCCAGCTTTAAGAAGTCTTCTTCTCACAGTATAAACACTCACTGAGCTGCCTTTTGCCTCAGATAATGCTGCAGCGAGCTCTAAAGCAGTTTTTTTTCCTGTTTTGTAGAGACTGCCTAATCAACAATCGATCTTCCCGTTCAGTAGTAACTTTTCTTCTGCCTGTTCTTGGTCTATTTTCATGGGTGCCAGTCTCTTTGAAGCGATTTATAGCATATTGAACTGCACATCGCGAGCACTTCACTTCTCGGGCTATTTTAACCTGAGACATGCCTTGTTCATGTAAAATCTTAATTCTTAGACGCTGTTCAGCACTAAGTTCAGATTTTTTCAGCATGATTAACACGTTAAATGTTAGTCTTAAGAATTGTGATAGGAATAGTTGCGTACAAGACGTGTATGTTCACTGCAAGCACTGATAGCACACTATAACCCGAAACGCAAAAAAAGCAAATTCGAAGAAACACCGCTTAGGAGCACACCTGGATGTCATAAATATTTTCTTTTATCTTAATTTGGTTAAAAATTGCCGCTAATACAATAGCTAAACCATAAAACACACACTTGACCGCAATATAATGAGATAGTGACTAACAATAGGGGTGCCTAATACTTTTGCACGCAGCTGTAGTATATATAGCTTTGGAGAAAATATCTTAAATCATATATATGTATATACAAAAACCTAAATTTTCTTATATATAAATAAATTAAATAAATATAACTGACCTAAACACAGCCAATAGCTTCTCAGCACGTACACTATCACCGTCATAGATATACAAATGATCCCATCCACACTCCGTAGCAAAACTTTCAAGTCTCACTCTCACCGTGGGTAACGTAGGTCCAACTCGTGGAGGCGTTATCAACCATGAACATTGTGTACTAACGCTATAATTACCGGGACCATCGGTTATAATACCGGATGTCTCTGTTAATCTGTAAAGGAAATAATAATAATCATTATAAAACTTTATATATAAATTATTCAATAAAAAAAGTGATTAAGAATTATTTGTAGACATATAATTTTTTTTTCTGTAAGTGAGAACATCTAATATGATAAAGTTCCTTGAAATTATGATTTTATTGAATTTTATAATTTATGCCACTTGTTTAATATTGAAGTATAAGTTATTGGATTGATTCATAAACTTAATACACAATAAATTTAAATTTCCATTTGAATCTCACAATATGCAACCTTTTTGATGATCAAAATTAGTAAGACAAGCAATTATTTGTAAATAATTCAAAGAAAAAGTTATTTGGCACTTAAAAATAGTAAATTGTCTTTTTAAGTCAAACATTATATGATTCTATTAAAACCCATCATACTTATTAATATTATTACAGGTTGAAATTACTTATACAAATAAATTCATATCAAAAATATATTATTCATGATTTATGAACATCATTAAAGTTTTCATACATAAATAAAGAAAACCTCACTTTCTTCAACTAAAGCAAATTCATTTATATTCAATAGAAACATTTGATCAACAAATAAAATTTTTAAGCACTTTTATATAAAAATATATTAACTTTTCATATTAAATACTTTATTTTGTCTTCAATCTCTTTGTCACATACTAGCTCGTAATAAAAGCCTATCTTCATTGTAGATTTTAACAATGTAAATTGTACCATTGTATTTTTTTTCCCACTAATAAATATTAACAATCGCTTGTATAATTTTGTGATTACGACCATTTAAAACAGATGTTCTCATATTTGTAACAGAGCATTATGATAATTACCAAACCAATGTTATATAGAGAAAAATATTCATTAATAACCCATTATACATATATATTTATTATTAAAAATATTAATAACTTTTGTAAATAATATGATTTTTAATACCAAATTGTTATCAACAATTACGACTAAAAAAAATATGAAAATATACATATATTATAATATATATCGGCAAAAATATAGATTTCAGAATTAGTAATAATGTCTTCCGATATTTATTTACAAGACAAAAACAACATCACTACAGACAATGAACAATGAACAAACTTTTAATTGCTTCTGAAATATATTTGTTTTTCATGACATAATATAAATTTGGTGCTATTAAAGTGTGTGTGCAAAACCTATGTACGTTTGTGTGCATCTGTCTGTGCTATCAAATGTGAAGACAAGAAATTGATCAATTTTTATACAGTTACTTTCATTTGATAGTATTTTTCATTGCAATAGTTCTTAACTATATTTAGTTAATATTAGTTCTGCATAAAAGAGTACAAGCTCTTTTCCAAATTGATACAAGGCATTTGCGTATAATCACTCTATTAACTACTTGTGTATGCCAGTATAATCATTAAATGACAATTAATTCATTCAATACTCTTTTTAATTTGATAAAATGTATCATAATGGTATTATTTAAATTATATTTGTGATAAATTAAATGAAATTTAAATTTTATGAGTCTACTTAATAAAGTTTAACTAACTAAATTTATATAGTGTCAAACAAAAGTTAAAATAGAGACTATTAGTAGAATATTTCTAAATAGTTTTATATGTTTGTCTTTAAGTCTTTAACTTTACATATTACATATATATCAAGCACACACAAACATACACACACACACACACACACACACACACACACACACAAACACAGACAGACAATAGGTATAATAAATATTATAATGGCTTTATTATATATATTAATATTACCTCAACAAAGAAAGAAATTTGTTAATGTTTTACAATTAAAGATTTTGCTAGTTTTTAAGCACCAGTTGTGATGTTTATTGATAAAAACTTTAATATAATGATCAATCCACTTAACTTAGTTATCGTGATGGAATATTGTAAATACTAGTCATTAATAATATTATTTTGAGAGTTTGGAAGCTTAATTTGGACATAAAATGTTACAATTATTTACTTACTCTTTATAAATATACTAAAATTCATACAGTTACAATATAAAGTTAAATGAATTTATTAATATTATTAATGGTTGAAGATTTTAAAAAAAATCTTAATTAGGATAGCAATATGTAGTTTTGAAAATATTAATTGAAGGATATAAAAATGTAATCTTTAGCTTAATCACTCTTTATAGATAATTTAGTATAATTGCTTTTAATATGCTGAGAATCATTTATTTATTTTGATATAAATATCAATGTACTATTTAAGATAGTACTTCTAGAAAATCTTACAAGATTTTGTAAACTTGAGATTGCACTGTGTTCAATATTGAGATTAGGGTCAAACAAATGAGAATGTTCTTAAATTTCAATGTTTTGACTGCTAATTTCATATCAATTGTGTTACAAGTAATCAAAAGTCTTAAGTGTACCAATAAATGAGTAACATTGAAAGTTTCTGTACTAGTACATGTTTAGTTTTGTATTGAGCATTGCAACCGTTTATATAAAGTGCATGCGACCTTCAGAAGTATGTCAGAATCAAACAGAGAAGCCAAAGAATATAATTGGATAATGCTATATCGAAGTTTTTGTACTAATACTTGATGACATGCCTTCTGTCAAATAGGTCAGTGAACTGGCCGTACAGGATTGTTGAATTAAAAGTCTAACACCACTTACTTAATCTTCCCGCCGCAGTGTTGACACTGGGAGCCCTGCCAGCCCTCGTAGCACACGCAGGTATCATTGTTACATACACCGTTAATACAGTTGTGATCACTACACCTAGACAGTACACCATGACAAAACAATAACACTATGAGCACTGAACACAGGAACGGCGAGAACCACGAATATTTTCGTCTGTATTTTGATTTGAAAAGAAATAAAAACATTTGCAATGATTCTACCATTTTGATGTATGCATTTTCAACGAGTTTTGTTAGCTTCGCGGACGTTTAAAAACGATGGTGCGTCGTGTAGAATCAGTACGGACTAGATTTGGTGTTGTCATACGTCTAATTAAATTTTACCCAAAATATAAGAATAAAAAGGTTTCATAGAAAAATACTTCTAATGTATCTGTGGCAAAGAAATACTTTTTAACTATATTTAATTATAAATATTTAAACACAGTGATGCTTTAGAAAAAATCGACAGCCTTTTCCGTCTTTGTTTGTAAAGAATAAAGAAAAGCAAAGTGCTGAAACAAAAATAATCTTTGACTTATACCCAGTAAAATAGAACATGTAAGAGTAAGGCAACACTTTCGGAAACACCTACTTTGACATTTTAGTATTGCTGTTAAAAATAAATAAAGTTATACACAGATAAATTATTATTATAATTCGTTTAATAATACTTACTATATTATTAAACATTAAGTGTATAATTAAAAGAAAGTAATGACTAAGTAAATACTTTTCAATTATTATATATCTCACTTTCACATATTGTATAATGCGACATCTTGTACTCATAATTAAGAACTATATCAGGAATGTAAAGTAACCATACTAGAGGGCGCTGGCGACTTTGTTTCGTGTTTTACTAAAGGGTTATTTTTTTCTAAATAATATTTATATATTTTTTTTTATTTTTAAATACCTTAATTCGATAGATACTATTAAAAATTGATCATTTAAAGTAATTGGAAAGTACTTTTATAGCTTTATTAGCAACTCTATTGTTTAAGTTTTATGATCATAAAGAAATGTTTATTGCATTTTATGTTTTCGTAACAGATTAATATTAATGATTTAAAAACTAGCAAATCAAATGAGAAAAATGAAAACTAAATATAAAGACAATCTGTTCAAAAGTGAGCATTATGGACATACAACAATATCCTCTTGCAATAAAAAAAACCTAAAGTGAACTTTTCTATTTCTTTAACTTCTTCATTGCATAATTAGTCTAATCATAATTATATAATTACTGACAATAATTTTTGATACCGATTTTGTAGATCCTACTTAATTTATAATTCATATATGTATTTTTATTCAAAAATTATACAGCATGAATTGTACCGAAATTTTATTAAACATTATATATTATAACTCATTCATAAAAATATCATATATTAATGCAATTTCTCTCATAATTCCATATAGTTCAAACGATGGTGTAACAGTTGTATTTGAAATTAAGTTACTGAGCACATACGATAGATGGCGCTGGCGGTAGCCAAGTTAATATGATAACTCTATTTTTTAATACTATTAGCTTCCGAGCTTAACTGGCACGTGTAAGTAATTGAGACTGACTAGGCTTTGAATTTAGGAGATTTATATATAAATAAGTGTACTTTATAAGAAAAATGACAATTTTATTTAATAAATTTTTTAAATTGAATTTAACATTTCGATTGATTTGTCTAAACACAATGTCATCATAGGAGTTTTCATTGTCTAAATTAACACTAGAAGGTTCTAGAACTCATTACAAATATATAATCAATAGTAATAGATTTGTTAATGAAGAAAATCAGATTTATAGGAGTTTAGTATGACTGAAAACTACTTGATATACCTATACAGGTTAAAAATATTGTGATAAAAGTACTTTATTGCAGTTTTTTATACCACTCCCGCGTTTTTCGTTTAAACAGATTTTCCGTTTAACAAAAATGAAAAAAAATGTGCATTTAACAGCAAACAAGAGATGTTTAAAGTAAATAATAAAATGGTCAGTTAGTTCTGTTTCAGAATAAAGTTTTCATGAACTCGTCGTCAACTCTTTTGTCAGCGAATTTTTTTATGTGGATTGTTTAATAATGTTCTTAGAATTTGTTGGGGATGAGTAATAAGCTTTTAATTAGAATGTGTTCCGTATAAATAATAAAAGAGGGTTATTAAGGAATATTAAGATATTTAATATTATTGTGAAAAAATATTTAGTTTTTTTAATATTTATTCCTTGATTTATTTTGGGATGGTATATGAAATTTTATTAAATAATAATTTAAATATAAAATACCTTAGATAGATCATGAGGGTTGATGGAAAGAAAATTAAATAAAGAAATATAAAGATGGAATAAAAAATAATACTTAGTTTCTAGACTTAAGGAATGTTTTAAAATTATTAGAATATAATTTATAATATTAATTTTCAACATATTGTTTAATCTTGATATCTTTAAAGTTGAAGTTGATTAGTTTGATATACACGCTCGTTATTAATTAATGTGAACAAAAAAATATTAAAATAGAAACAATTAGTTGAAATGGCTTCACACACGCCACGGCCCTGACAGGTGAAGCTCACTGGCTTTTTTTGTATCTTACATGTAAAATGTTACAGCAAAGTTTGAATATATTATATAAAATAAAAAAATAATTAACATGGTTATGAAAAATTATTTATTAGACAGGTACTTAGTATAAAGATTAATGATAACTTTTTGTAAATTAATCTATATAAAATTTCTCTATAAAAGGAATTCATAATTTGCAATTTAAAAAAACGATTAATATTAAACCTCCTTCGTTAATAATAAATATGTATGCAAGAAGTAAAACCTCTTTCATTTTCAGGCAATGATTTAAAAAGTGAAATTTTAAAATAAGAACATCGCCGAATTCCTCGCGTCCCATACTAAATTGGCGGCAACGTCCACGCAGCTGCGTGCCCAAGGTCAGTGCTATTGTGCCAGAGTGCATCGCCCAACTGAAAAATACACACACCCATGCATTCTGTGTGCATGTGCAATGTATGCTATGGACGAAAAGTATCCGAATTGAGCGGCAAAGAATAAGACGCGCTACAGATGTGATTGTTTTAAGACGTTTAATTCTGTTTGTAAGTGGAAGATAAATATTTTATTTTTATATTTAAACAAATCGTATTAGTGAAATATTTCATAAGATATGATTTTGTTATTTATCTATCCATAACTCTACGTAGATACATAGGAGCATTTTTTGAAATATTGATAAAATATTTGTTAAATTATTAACTAGGTACTATTGATATACAAAATCTTAAGTTCAACGTACAGGTGGTATGAAATAATAATATACAGTGTAAACTCTATATAACGACACTGAAGGGACCGTGCATTTTAGTGCGTTATAGAGAGTTGCCGTTAAATAGAGGGAAGAAAAATCAGAATTAGAAAAAGACAAAGTTTGTTTCAGACTACTGTTAGTACTTATGTACATAAAAAAGAATGTTATAAAGTCTGTTGTTTTTGTTTGACGTGTTGCTGCACCAGTAATGTTGTTGTATTTTTACGTATTTTATTCATATCTTGCGATATTGAGGCTTATTGGTGAAGAACGAATTTCTTAGAAAGTTTGGTATGCATGATTACGACAGTGGAGTTTATTGCGGGCTAGGATAACAAAGCGACAAAAAAACGTACACAGCTGCGCATTTTTTACTAATTTTAGCAACTTAAAGGGTACTTTTTATTACTTAATTTTGTCGTTATTGAGAGTGGCTGTGACGCTATATAGAGTGTATCATTGTATGGTAGACAAGCTAAACCAACCAAAGTCAAATGATTTCGACGCTTTAGAGAGTTTGTCGTTAAATCGAGTGTCGTTATATGGAGTTTACACTGTATATACTGATGTTGGTTAAAGAATATGCTTAACAAAATAAATGATTTTTCAAAGAGATTTATTGCGATTACTCTATAATCTTTGGGACCACAAAAAGGAAACAACAGCCAGTCAAAGTACCCGAATTACGAACACGCACACATACACATCGCCACACACACATACACAAGTCACACACACACACACAAGTCACTCACACACACACAGGCGCGTATCGTGTAAGGTCATGGCTACATTCGGTTGTTTTCGGTTTCGTTCGGTGCAGGCGCATTTTTCTTTTTATGGCGGGCCGAATAAAAACCTTTGTTGTTGGTCGAAACATTATCACGGCTTTTATTGAAGTAAATAACTTTAAAATGAACCTTTTTTTTATTTTTTATTTCAAAAAAGTTCATGTAGGTAATGTTCTTATAGTCAGTGTTCAACTTTTGGTTGGTATTTAAAGGGCACGAAGTTTTTTCCTAAACATTAAATTACTCATAACAATTTAATAAATTGTTAATATATGTATATGTACGTAGATCACGCAAGTTGGAATATAAACGAAAAAAATTATAGCAATACATTTGAATAATATTACTGTAAGTAATTAGTTCTGAAATGTCAATAATAGGATATTCACAAATGACTAAACTTTAATATAAATATCACAGTTTAAGATACACGCTTGATAAAAATATAACAACCACAGAAACGGGTTCTTTCTCTCATTTTAATGCAGAAACAAATTTACTTAGCGCCATGTTTTTTTTTGTTATTTTCACAGAGACCTTGGGAGCAAGTGCCAGTGCCCGGAGCTGTTCGAAATTCAAAATGTAACCAACGGAAAGTGAAACAAAGTTTTACATCGGCTGTAGTATGTCGTCTGCGGTTGTCATTATGTTTTATAATTTTCTTTCATTCGGTAAAAGGATGTGTCGAATTAGCGACCAATTTCGAAATTGGGTCTCGAGGTTACGAATTTTTATTGTACTCCAATATAACGGATATATTTATTTCAAAGTAAGTGTTTCGTAACATAAAATTACCCCGTTTTTAGGGTAATTTTTTTTTTTTGTATATGGAATATGCGTGGTGTGAAATAAAACAAAATATATTTCAACAAATGAAAGAAATTTATTGTATACAGTTTGTTTTAAATATCCTCGCACACCGTCACATGTTCACTCGCGCCATCAACTTTAAGATATTAACGTAAGATATAAAGTTCTTAAGATAAATGTTATTACACAATATGAAAGAACGTCACTACCGATGTAGTTATATAATAAACTGTTTCAAACATACACAAGTGCACAATTCCACATTTTCAAATCAACATTTTGCCGCCAAGCGACCTTTTGGACGTTAATTCTCATATTTTTTTTTTCTCTTTTAATAAACATTTTTTGTCAGTCGAACAGCCGTAAGCTAATTTCATTAATATGTTTTGCTCTAATTTGACTAGATTCAATACAGTTGTGCCAATTTACCGAAACTTGCTTAGCAGATGATAGTGACCATGAAAACACAATAACATTGAGACAGTAAGTAAGTAGTTATCACTCGTCACTGAGGAATACAATACAATATATAATATATTAAAATAAAACATTGAAGGTGTAAAAAAACAAAAAACAAAAATCAAAGGTGATCCATGTATATTGAAATAAAATATAGCATTAAAACTTGTACTCAATAATTAACAATACAATAATTTGATCTTAGCTCGAGTCGAGGTGTTCTCGACACACGATACATTGGTCCGTTACCTAAAACATACTATGACCGATACACAAATAATATACATATATAATATATATAATAATAATATAACATTCAAAACAAATGTTCCCCAGTACTGTGATGGTACATAAGCGTCTTACGAGAAATAAATATTAATAATAATAATAAAAAATAAAATAAAAAGAAAAACTCATCAATATTTTTAATTTCTCTCCACGTATCTAATAACTTTATATTTATATGTCCTAACATTAAATGCTTTGTGTTGTACATAATTTTTTTTTTTAACGTGGCAACCCACGCCTCTGAACTGCTGGTATTTGTTTAAAACAAAATCACCCCGGTACTATAATTATAATAAGTATAAGGAATTATTATAAAAGTACGATAATTTTTTTTTTCATTAAAAAAAAAATAATCTTCTAGTACATACATAGATGTAGAAAAAAACAAAAATAGGTGAAGCTTATGATATACGAACGTTCGATGCGCGTGCGCACACACACAGGCACACACACACAAACAAACAAACAACATGTGTTACGATTAGAAATAAGATCTGGCAATGTCTTTTATAAATGATGAAACACGAGGGGCGAGAGCTGCGCCGGAGAGACCTTAACGGACCGTTAACGAGCGTTTAACGAACAGTTAACGGATGGTTAACGGATGGTTAAGGTGTCGTCGCCGCAGCCTCCCCCCTCTATCTTAAAGTATGTGTGTTTTGTTTAAAATGCAACTTCCCTTCATTGTCTTTTTGTTCGATCAGTCGAGGACCGTTCAAGACTAACCTAACGCTTAAGAGAAATTTATTACAAATACGAAAAAAAAATAAAAAATAAAATAATAATTAACAAAAAAAAAATATTAAAGAATCACTACCGCCTAACTATAATTCAAAAATTACGCTACATTATAAACTAAAAAAAAAAATCTTAATAATATGTATGTGGAAAAAAATATAATGATCGAACAATTTTTACAATAATAAAACGATTCCCTAGCACGGCGGCGATCTGCGTCACTTCCGCTCCGACCGGAAGCGGGCTGGACGTCATCGGTTACGTAACAGAATAATATTAAAAAAAAACATGAAGCGATGACGTCATCGGAGGCTGCGTGCAGACGGCCGCCGAGACGAATGTTATGTGATAAGGCGGCGTATACACTTTGTACAAAACGAACTAGCGCCGGGGCTATAACTAAGTCAGTCGCAACCTCTCTGGAGCCACTAGCACTCACCACTCACCACGCGTAAACAATGACATGTATAACATCACAATATATAATATAATAATAGTATATAGTGTTAAAAATAAAGACGCTTAAAAATTAACTAACGTTACCAAATAAGATTAAAACAACATAATGATTTGTTCCCGATGACAAATTATATTTATATTATTATTATTATATGTAATTATTATTTAAACAAGAAAAAAAAAATCCTCTATTTAACATTCTAAACGGAATGTTCATTAATATCTAAATTCTCTTTGCAAATTGTCCCATCCTATTATTTCTGTACAAACTTACGCAAAATAACTGTTGTTGTTGTTTTGTTGTTTTGTTTCTGTTGTTGTATTACAACAACAGTACGTCACGTGACGTCATCTGTGTACGTATAGCAAATAAACAACAAAGGAATCGGTTCAATTTGAATTTGGAATCATTGAGTGATGCGGCCCGGCGACACCTAATATATGTCTTTATAAATACATTACATGTCTTTTAACAAAATAAATGCACGATATAACAGTTACAATAGATCATAATATTTTAAATTTAATTTATTTTTTTTGTCGAAGATTAAACATTAAAAAGACGTCCAAAATTATACGCTGGTGATGAAATGAAAGTGAAACATGTTATCGACTAGTTTAAATTTCGAATATAAAAATTTTGTTTTTTTTTTTGTTTGTTTCGAGTGTTCGACATCTCGGCATTGGATATGTATGATAATCTCGTCTTATATATATATAAACTTTTTTCTTTGAATATATTACTCATTATTTCCTGGTACTGGTGTGATATTTGTGTCGAAATGTCGAGGTCACTCCTCAATTTTCTCTCCACAACTGGTCAAGAAAATGTACGACAATAGTTTTGTATATAATATATGTATGTATGTATGTATATATATCGATCGCATACACAATACAAACAAGTGTCACTCAGAATCCCACCGACACACCTTACTCGCTATGTTAATAGTAAGATTATCTATAGCCAAATATTTTTTTACCTAATTTAACTTCCTCGGGAGAGCGTATACATTTTTTTTTCTTTTCGTAGTTCATAATATACTTTCGATTGAACACCAAAAAACGTCACAAACGTGAAGATATCCATATTTTTTTTTGAGGTTTTTTTTTTGGGCTAATTATTATAATTTTTTTTTAAAGTCGACAAGAATATAATAATGATTATTCATATTTTTGTATAGTCGATAAAACATTTAAAACTTGGACCATGAAAAATAAGAATATATCTTCTTAAGATACGATAATAGTACATAAAATATTAAGATCACTAGTGTAGGTGTAAACACCGTGTGCAGGCTCGCTGGCCGCACTATGCTAAATATCACATTTAGTAATATGGAATCAACGCATCGACCGACAGACGAACACACACTCTAAATAATAATTGCACAAGTCCGCGTCCTCGGTACACGTTACAATACATTACAGTACAGTACATTACAATACATTACATTACATTACCTATCTAATATAAAAAACACCGCCGTCACACTTACAAAACGATAACATATACACTCGCCGCTAGCGTTATCATTACTTTGTTACAATGTTTTTTTATTTTTAAATTTTTAATTACTTAAAAATATTTAAATAAAAAATATTTAAATAACATTCGTAACATTAACTTTTGGTTGTCTCTTACATAACGAGCTCTGCGTCCAGGATACGTCCGGGAGGAGGGGGGAGGGGGGGTCCGGTGTGCTTGTGTCTGTGTGTCTGTGTGTGTGTGTGTGTGTGTGTGTGTGTGTGTGTGTGTGTGCGTGAGGTAACTACTGTGATGTGAGTGTGGGCGTGGCGGGCGGGCGGCGGCGGGGTGGGGGTTCCGTTCCTGGCCCGCAGCCTCTGCACCGCGTCCCTCATGTCGGCCGCCAGCTGGTGGTCGGTGTCGAGGCGCGGGCGGCGCGCGGCGGGCTCGTCCGCGGCCGAGGGGCGCCGGCGCAGAGCGTCGCCCGCCACCGCGGGCGCGGGTGGTGAGGCGGGCGCCCCCAGCCGCTGCAGCAGCGCGGCGCCGGGCCGCTCCAGGCTGGACCGGATGATGCCCTCGAGGAAGGAGCCGTTGGCGGGCGGCGGCGCCTCCTCCTGCAGGCGGCGCATCATGTGCGAGGCGTACAGGTCGGGCGCGTGTCTGTAGGGCGCGCCGCCCGCCCAGAACGGGTAGCCGGCGGGGTAGGGCTCGGGCCCGTTGAGGCCGTTCGTGAAGGGCTTGGTCGCCGGCTTGGCGGGCTTGGGCGGCGGCTGCTTGACGTCGGGCGGCGGCTTGGGCTCGCGCTTCCTGGGCCTCATGAGGTGCCTCTCCTTGACCTTGTACTCGAGCGTGGAGTGCGGCACCCCGTAGTAGCTCCCCGCGCGGTGCACGCTCATCTCCCCCCGCTGCACCGCCTTCACCGCCTCCACCAGACTGTCCCGGTCGTAGTTCCTGTACTTGCCTCTCTTGGGTCGGGTCCCCTTCCCCCCGGCCGGCTGCTGTCCGTTGTTCTTGGAGTTCCCGGGCGCCGCGTACCGCTGGTTGTCGGGCGGCGTCTTGATCACTGATACATGTCTCTCGGGCGGTCGGAGGTAAGGCATCTCGGCGGGCGGGGGTCGCTCCAGAGGCTGCTGGAACTTCTGGCTGATGCTCTTTGCGATGACGTCGTTCAGAGACGTGAAGAGATGCCGCGGGGTGGAGGGGTCCGCGAACACTGACGGGGAGAGGAGCAGCTGTGACGGAGGATTGAGAGGGGGCTGAGGGGGTATGAGGGGGGTGACGGGCGCGGCCGGGGACTGACTCTTATCGTCGGGCGGCGGGAAGGTCGGTATCTTGAGTATAACAGAGGGAGGCGAGTCAGGTTTGTCCGGCTCGCTGTCTGGCTCGGAGTCCGCGCCAGCATCCGCCGCCATCCCAAACTTGTTGACCTTGTTCCTGAGCGTGGAGCGCGGGATGCCGTACACCACAGCCGCGCGCCTCGTGCCCAGCCTCCCGGACTGAATGTCTCTTAGCGCGGACTGCAGCTCGTCCTCGGTGTACGTGCGACGAGTGCTGTTGCTAGAAGAGTCCAGTGGAGGACGCTTTAATCTGGAACAAATAGAACATACATTTTAAACGTGGAATACACGGTACAGAGGAATATAGAACTTAACTAGATAAACTTAAAGTTGGAATTTTATAAGCTGTTTGACATCATGAAGTTGAGGAACTATATCTTCTAAGACTTTAAGTTATAATTCTTCCTCTTAATCAAACATCTCTAAACCCTTATTATTTCCTACCTAAATATGTACACCTAATGCTCAATATCTCCATTATCTTGTCCGTATCGTTTATCCTCCATATATTTAAATAAATTAATTTCAATAAGTCTGTATATTGAGACATCGATCCTATCAGTGACAGAACAAACAACTTGAAGCCAAACAAAAAGAAGGCGAAAAGAAAATATACAAAATTGAATCATTATGCAATGTGGGTCAAAAGCTGGTCGTCGACTTGCAATCGGTCACAATCGGTCACAATCGGTCATAATCGGTCGCGAAGCTCGGCTAAATTCAATATTTCAAAACGGTCCGTCTTATTAATTCCAGATAACACCGAACGCGAAATATTTACTCATGGACTCACCGATAACGGGCTGCTATGAATGCGTCTTTATCTTTTTCCCTTCGTCTTTTATTTCCTAGAAACGTCTACACTAAATTCTACTCTATATCGATTGATATACGGTCTTATTTGGTATGAAGTTTATCATTCGTCTTCAGTTTCATCTTGGGTTTTACTTTCTTATTTTGACTTCAACCAGTCATGAGACTTTATACTTTATTTCATTATATGTAAGGTCGTGTTTAGTTTGTTTGTGTGGCCGTATACCGAGGATGCAAGGTCGATGCACCGACCATAGTTGCATTTTTATTTGTTTTGGCGGGTCGCGCGACCCACATCGCGGTGCCCGAATGAATTTATTCAGTTATCGATTTGATATTGTGCATAATATCGGTGTCCCGGGAAGACGTCTAGATACGTTTTGTAGCTCCTTTGTGTGCAGGTGAAGCAGACATGTAGGTAACAGTAACGAGCTCGTCTGTGGACCCAATGATGCGGACCTCATATTAAATTCATGCCTTGAACATTCCTCATACGAATATCACTATTGTTAACTTTGTCATATAATATATGGAACTCATTACGCTACTAGTTCAGTACTTAGACACGATAGCTCAATTTAAAAAGCGTCACGGATAATGTCGTTGGAGTAGCGGGTTCAAATCTTGTGACATCAATAGCTAGGATTCTTATTACTTGACTAAATATTAATTTTAAAATTAATTAAATTTCTTTGCTTTTTTATATCAACTTGATATATTGTAGTTATTTATCACAAAATATAAATCCCTTTTCAGCTTGTAACGTTATAAATCTATAATATTTTTCGTATTTCATAACTATTCCATACATCGCGGTATCCTTGATGGAATCGTCCTCATTTTGAAAACGGTTCAAGTGGAACGATACTTTAATTAATTATGCATTCAATGTTCGTTAATAATATGTATATAAAACATTATATATATACTATCATTATTATATAAAAAGTTTTTGTTATATATCTTCCTTAAAGTTGATTGTTTTATTTCTAATATATAAATTATTGTATATTTAAATCAAATTAATTTAAGAGTTACATCGTAACAAACATACGAACATTAATATAAAACTTATCATAATAATATTTAATATTATATATAGCAGTTCGTTCACGCGTCTCATATCTAGAAGCCAGTACATATAACAATTTATTCAATTATTTACTTTCAATATATTTACATGTGAATGTAAATATTTTTGTTCGTCTGTCTGTATCCTAAACGGGTCAATGAACTATATTATTATGTGTTATATTAATATCATAATGTTGTTGTCGTAATTTTTGATGTAAGTGACACCAGATTCTGTTGTTATTATTCCACAGTTGTTTGAATCGAACACAACAGAGCGTTCGAATCGTATGGAGTCCGTTGAACTTATTCAAAGTTTCGTTTTCCGACATTAATGGGTGCATTCACTCACATTGTTTATGTAATATGGTGCTATATTTCAATGGGAAGTGAATGCTACGGGTATTATAACCCATGCTTACACCATGGCCAATCGGCCAGCGACATACACTAGCTTATAGCTACCTACCATACGTAACATATAATTATGTTATAAATTATCGATATGATTAAAATAACATATACGTATTGGATAAGACTCATATACGTATATATTTTTCGTCATAATATTTTCATTAAATTAAAAATAAAATATAAATGTAATCAAATAATGTAGAATAAATATACTAGATATCGTTGTTAATGGAAAAGTAGAGTTTTACTTCACTATTTTTCTACTAGCTAGTTTAGTTTTGCGAGAATTCTCAAACATGAAGTAATTATGTATTGTTATTAATATTTGTTTAATAATTCATATTAATTTTTAACTTATTTGTTTTAATTTTAATGAAATCTATCTTAGAGTCATGAATAAGTCTACATTTTGTTACTATAACACTTTTATATACTGAACTAAACTTTATTCTGCAATTCATAGTTTTTCTTTATAAATATTATAAAGCCTAGTTTGTTATACATCGGAGTGTGTGGTATCTTTTGATAATATTAGGTTGAAGTGAGCGAGGCAAGTCGAGGGCGGAGGCTATGCAAGTTTGCGAATATTCAATAGACTGTGAAGGGCCCTTGGAAATTTCGTCTCGATATTTAGGGCGCTTTTAAGATGCCTCCAGTTCAGACTGGTTTTATATCATCAGCTATTAGTTACCAGATATTGTATTACATAATATATATAGGCGCCTTATATACTTATCCCTACTAATATTATAAATGCGAAAGTAACTCTGTCTGTCTGTCTGTTACGCTTTCAAGCGTAAACCACTGAACTGATTTTAATGAAATTTGGTACAGACATAGAGTTGACCTTGAGAAAGAACATAGGATAGTTTTTATCCCAGACTTTTGAAAGGTTATCTTGGAAACGCGATATAACCAAACTCCACGCGGGCGAAGCTGCGGGCGGAAAGCTAGTTATTTATAGTATATAAATATTTTTATGTGATTTAAATCATTCCGATAGCCATAGCTTCTTATATACTATTCATATTTATTCCTCTCCTACTGGAAATTTCCCAGTTTTAGCCAGGGTCTGCCTTACATGTTGTGAATAGTTTTGGCTACCTAATTAATTTTACGACCGGCCGCCGTAGACATCAACCCTCTTTGGAAACTATTTAAATTTATTATTGTTATAATATCTAATTATTACTATGTGATTTAAATCATTCCGATAGATTGAATCTTTTCAAATCGTGTGCTAAATGTTTTAATATGTAAATATAGTTTTTTTGATGTTAAAATATATTAATCCCGCGAGGCGATCGTTTTTATTGGTAGTTTGTGAATCTAACGCCCTGCCAATAATTTTAAGTGTTTCCATATTCTGTATCTACTTTATTTGATTTTATGAATAAATTTCAAAAATTTCCTCTTCACTTATTCATAATAATGTAGTAATTCACAAATAGTATACTAAAAAGCTGATTTGGTTAATATGTTAATATATATTTATATTGTTTTTTTCTTTATCACAAGAATATGAAACTTAAATGGAACTAATATTTCGTGGATATACCTACTATGCTTTTTTATTCAGGACTGGCTTTCAGCCCGCAGCTTCGGCCGCGTGAAGTTCAGTTATATCGCGTTTCCAAGAGAACCTTTCAAAAGTCTAGGATAAAAACTATCCTATGTTCTTTCTCAAGGTCAACTCCATCTTTGTACCAAATTTCATTAAAATCAGTTCAGTGGTTTAGGCGTGAAAGCGTAACAGCCAGACAGACAGAGTTACTTTCGCATTTATAATATCAGTAGGGATAAAAACTACATAGTCCCGACGTTTCGGTTGCTTTACAGCAACCGTGATCACAAAGACGGGAAAGTATGCAGTTTTTATCAAAAATAAAGTCGCGTAGTATATCCGAAATAGTTTAATTTAAATGTCATGCGAAAATCTCAGATCTCATTAATATGAAAATTAAATAAAAATCCAAAATATTAAATCTACTTACTTATGTATATCCTACATATATGAATATTTTAATTATGGTTGAAAAAAATATTATATTGTCTACAAAAATCACAACATTATGGCAGTATATTTTGATTATATATATATTTTTTACGTGAGAAGGAGATATTAAGTATTTGTTCCTCATTGATACATATTATACGATAGAACATATGTTATATTAAAAAATATATAAAATATAATAATTAATTGCTATTTATTTGACTATTCTTCATAAATTAAAAATTGAAGAAAATATCACTTTTTGCGGTCAGATATATTGTGTAGTTTTTTTGGTACTGATAAATTAACCTTTTATATTTTTATATGTATGACAATTGCTTCAGACTTAAATCTTTATCAAGAGGAAATACTACGTCCTCTTGTATTAGTAGGTACTAGTAATTAAAACGACGGATTAAAATACAAATGATAACCTGATATAAGGTTAATTAAATATGAAAATTAAATATGTAGATATAGTAATAATTAACTTTCATCATTATTCTTAAACTAATTCCTATAAAAGTCATAAGCTCCTATTAAATTTATCCTAGTTTAAAAGTCTTAAATAAGTCAAAAAAAAAAGTTGTCGTCATAATGTTATTATTCAAACTACCTTCATCAAATAGCTTGATTTTTCGAAAATAATTTTTTTGATCAATATGTTTACACATTAAATTATTTTGAATGATATATTTCATGATATATACATACATAGGTATGTATCCTACTAATACTATAATTGCGAAAGTTTTTGAGTGTGTGTGTATGTTTGTTGCTTCTTCACGCTCAAACTGCTGAAACGATTTTGATAAAATTTTGTATACAGGAAGCTGACGTCCAGGAATAAGACATAGGCTACTTTACGTCCCCGAAATCCGCGGGTAACACCGCGCGTCGCAGCTAGTAAGCTAGTCATATGTTATGATAGTAACACTAGTTGTCTCACCTGGTGTCTGTCACCTTTTCCGGCGGCGGGGTGCCGCTCGTGCTGGAGGTAGACTTGGCGCTGAGGTCCAGCGGCTGTTCCGTGGTCGGGGAACCCCCGGGCTTGTCCTCCGCCCTGATGATTAGAAGGAACTTGTATATAACCAACATACATATATATAGTAATTTGGTATAAATGTTGTGTGTGTAGTTTTTGGGTTTTTATACATATATTCATACATACTCTAAAGTATAAAAGTATTTGTTCTACCTAATGAATAATCTTAGTATCAACCGAAATCCACACATGACGATCATATGAAGATAATAAAAACCGCTAATAAAATATAAACTATATAATTAATTATAGTACATATTCAATATATTTGAACCATCGTTTATATCTCAAGTTTCATACAAATATATGTATGTATGAGTTTCCTTCATAGACATTTCGCGTCAGTAATGAAAGACGAGCGAACCGTACGTCCTTATTATGTCATATGTCACACATACTGAATGGAACTCCGCTTGTGTGTACCAGAAACTAACTGTATATTAAATATACATATATATGTATTGTTTAGAAACTAATAATAATGAGTTGTTATAAAAATTTAGTTAAAGTATGAAATTTTTGTAATATTCATCGAAAATTAAAATTTTAAACTAGCTGACCCGAAAAACATTGTTTTGCTATATCAAAAAATACGGGTTGGTGATAAAAAAATAAAAGTTTTGAGTTGTATGTATTTAAAAAAAAACATTAATTTAGGGTGAAAAACCCTTATGAGTAACGGGTATGAAAAATAAATATTGGCCGATTCTCAGACCTACTCAATATGCTGACAAATTTCATCAAAATCGGTCCATCCGTTACGGAGTTCTCTGTCTTACACGACACGAAAATTCTATATATAGATATATGAAATCTCAAGAACATATATACGTACATTGAAATACAAACAATGTTAAAAGAAAACCTACTCTAACCGTTGTGAAACAATCGATAAATTATAATATGAATTAATTAAAACATAATTGGTATCTGGCATTAAAAAAACAATACTACGTTAACGTCACGTTACACGATATAAATATACGTTAACGTTATAACGTAGATACGTTTTGAGTCCGTGAACAGTCAATACTTGGACGTGTTGAACGAAATGTTTAACGGACTGACTACAAAAGGCGCAGATATTATTGATACTTCATACGACACTCAAATCAATGTTGGTGCTTTCAACATAGTATTTGATATATATATTCTTCTTCTACCTGGAAATTTCCCAGCTTTAGCCAGGGCCTTACATGTTGTGAATAGTTTTGGCTAATTGTTTTCACGACCGGCCGTCGTAGACATCAACCCTCTTTGGGAATGCATTAATCAGTGGTGTCTAAATACTCTTAGAAAGTAAATATGACTCGGAAAAATAGCATTGGTACTTGCCAGGATCGAACCCGCGCCGTTGCGTATGAGAGGCGGGCTTTTAACCACTAGGCCACCACTGACTTTAAGAATATATTATATATTAGAATAAATAATCTAAAATTGATTAACAAAAATTTGTATATTATTTTCTACTAGCTTTCCGCCCGCAGCTTCGCCGCGTGGAGTTCGGTTATATCGCGTTTCCAAGAGAACCTTTCAAAAGTCTGGGATAAAAACTATCCTATGTTCTTTCTCAAGGTCAACTCTATCTCTGTACCGAATTTCATTCAAATCAGTTCAGTGGTTTAGGCGTGAAAGCGTAGCAGACAGACAGACAGACAGAGTTACTTTCGCATTTATAATATTAGTAGGGATTACCTATACATTTCTTTTTTTCTCTAAGTTTAGTTTAAGTTGAGTTTAAGTTTATTCTATATCCTTTTCTTTAGTATGGACAATATATATTATGAAGTTCATCAACAAAGGTTCAGTAGTTTAAACAACAAACTACAACACATATTTTGATAACTAAAATATATTCAACTATAGTAAATCATTAACATACTTTATTAAACATAGTGTAGTGAGGAGTCAATTTTGAGAACTATATACTTAAATATATATGTATGTCTACAAATATATTTTTGTAATTAAATTAATCAATGAACAATGAAATTGTGAATCATTTTAAATTTATATTTTAAATTATTCAAAATTTGACGTCATCCCAGTATTTAAAACCATTTTATTCTATACATATATGAATTTAAATAAACATTTTTATATATAAGAAAAAAATATTAATATTCAATAATAGTATAGTAGTATGTATTGTAATCTAAAAGTAACATGTCCCATCTCCGTAAGCAATGAACCGTAGTGATTGTCGGCACAGCATCCGCTGAGATGTATCCGCGTGTCTTATTAACGGCTTATTCGGAGAAATTACCTCTTGTGATTATAAAAAACATACATACATACATATATGTATGACGAAAATAATTCAAAGGGAAGTATAGAAAATGTAGTATGCAAATTATTATTATGGAAAAGTTATTTTTTGGGTTTTTGTATATATATTGATTAAAATTTTGTTTTTGAAGTAGTAGATAAATATATATATAATAAAATTATCTTTTTATATTTATATACACGTTTCATTTGAATTAAATCACATAATAAATTAGTACAATCATAATAACTATATCTTTTAAATTTCTTATATACCTATAGGTATTTATATATGTATATGACCTCAAATATATATTATATGTAGTGTGATTGTAATTAGCGTCCCAGTTTCAATACAAACAATCGTACGTACAGTGGACAAATTACAATTTCAAATTGGTCTAAACATGCAACCTTGGAGGACCCCGCTACGAATAACTCTCCTGAGCTATGAAATAGTCATTTAAAATACATCTCCATATATAATATATACGAAAAATATAATATATGTATTATTTTAATGTTATATATGTAATATATGTTGGTTTGTGATGATGTGTTGGCTTAGTGAAAGTATGATAAACTTAATTATTAATTATGTGATTTTTTAATGAGATAATTATTTATTTTATTAATATTTATATAGTATGGAAGATATATCTTAATGTTGTCTTTTAAATTTATCTTTTTTTTTGATACAAATATTGTAATTATGATTGCGTGGAGTTTAAAATATTGTAATGCAAATTTTTACAAAAAATTAATGTTTCAATAATATTTTAAGTCAGGTAAATAATATATTTATAAGTGACTGTTTCTGAATTCCCTTCAAACGCACATTTGTATTCATGTTACAGAAAATGCTAACAGAGTTCCACTCATCCAAGGTTAGCGAGATCGTGGATTTTCAGTCATATATATATACTTAGTTATATACACATATATATATTTATATGACAATGAATTTTAAACTTTATTACATGTACAAAAAAATTTAAATCAACCTTGACAACGGGTTCAGTAGAATGATAATCGACCAGATATATAACCGGTTCCAACCGGTTCTAGGTGAAGCCGCGGTACATACATAGTGCAGTATCTAGTAACACTGCACGTCTCAAGGATTCATCTTTATTTATAGGGACAAACTCGCCTATAATATGACTCGTACGAAAAACAACCTTAACACATTGATATAAAGCCGCTTTTAGATTGGTAACGTATCTGTAATGGCACTGATATCGAGCATTGAATATACTGTGACGATTTTCATATGATTTAATATTTTTAACAAGATTTTTTGGTATCAGATAAGAAACTCGTTAAATGGACATAATTTCGATGTCTGTTAATCTCGTTAAATGCTGTTAAATAATGAATAAGATCGTTAAATTATTGTAATCTTCAATGCCATTAGAATGGTTACAAATGATTTAATTCATGATTGATTGAAATTATATTGAGGTTATAGAATAGTTAAAATTATTATTATTATTTTTAATACAAACAAAGAACATAAAGACAGGTAAATAACTACGTTAACATTACTTGTATCAGATGAAACAGTGACATGTATGCAACTTTATAAAGGTTTTAAAACTGTTGCATTAATAGATATTATCTTAATGAATCAAGTTTTTTTTCTATATAAAACTTTAATATTTTTAACAATAATAAATTTCATTAACTTTAAAATAATATTGCAATGTTTCCGACGCAGTTTTTATTTTTTAAAATTAATTTCCGTCTTATAAAGGTATTATAAATTGTGTTATCAAAATTACTTTTAATATAACTATATCTTTAATATAAAAAAAGGACAAAAAAATATTGAAAATATTCTTCACTACCAGTATTGTCTATCGTAATACATACATGTAATACAGTAAGCGTGTGTGTGTGTGCTTGCGTGTGTGTCTATGTGTGTGTGTGTGTGTGTGTGTGTGTGTGTCGACAAAAATATGCAGAAAATATTCTTGAGTATTGTCTATCGTGATACATACATGTATACAGTAAGCGTGTGTGTGTGTTTGTCTGTGTGTGTGTGTGTCTGTGCTCACCTGTCAGCCTGCGGCCTGGCCATCATCTTGTGCATCATCCAGGCCTGCGACAGCGGCGGCACGAGCCCCGTGCCCAGCGCAGCTAACGCAGCTAGCATCTGCTGGAACTGCACACACATCTCCGTCACCGCCTGCTGTTCCATCAACTACACTAAACTCATCATACAATCTACTACACTCATCGCCTATTGTGATGGACTCATCATCTAGTATGATAGACTCATCACCTATACTCCCTTTGCGTTAAGCTACAATCATTAACTGTTCATCATATCATGATGATTACCGAACTTTGATAATTAATAAATATATATATATATGTAAGTAATTCAAGAATTACTTATAGAAAATTTCATATAAAATCTAATAAATTCAATTATTATGAACATTTGTTTATCCTTTTATATTTTAATGTAACTATTACATATCCTTCTTTTATCGAAGTTGATAATATTCTTCGTATTACCAAATATATAATTTCATTGGTCAGTCTAATTCTAACAAACACACATACATACATAATATTTTCATTACTATCATTATTCTAGTTACATTAACTTCAACATAATATGTAAATTTATTTTAACTTATATGTTTAAAAATGTATGCACATATAAGATTTTCTTTATCAATAAATTACCTAATATTTATTAATTTATTTATGTATCAAAAAAAATATTATAATAATTAAAGTATTATCAAAGAAATGTGATTTAAAAATTTAACTTATCTTTTGTAAGAGATCTCTACTAAACCCTACTTCTACTTATAGTACGTAGTTTCAAGCTAACTCATAGTAACCCACTATATGCTCGCCCCCTTGCTCTGCTTGTTTAATGTCTAACCTGTGTGATAGCTTGCGGGTTCTGTCCTTGTAGTTGCAGCTGTAGTAAATGTTGCAGCAGTGGCGGACCAGCCGGACTCTTGGCGCCGGAAACGGAACTGCTGTCCGATTCTGACGCTGGACTCTGCAAAATGACTCTTTTTAGAAGGTGACTAAAAAATGATTATTTGGAATGTGACTCGAAAATGACTCTATTAGGAAAGTGACTCTGAAATAACTGTAATGACTTTTATAGCAAGGCTATGTAGGACTTAATTGGAACCTTTTTCCGACTCTAAAACTGGATTCTGGAACATGACTCTATTTAGAAGTGACTCTAATATAAGTCTAATGATTATCATAGTATGTAGGACTTGACGAGAATATTTTTTAGATATTTTAAACACCTTAAAATTATTATTTTTAAACATGTATGTTCTTATAATGAAGAAATATTAAAAATAATTTTATGGTAAATCCTTTGTTACTTTACTGATGTTTTTAATATAATTTTAATGAATTATAATCATAATAAAATATACAATACAATAGCATAGTATAAGTATATATATAATATTTTATATGAGTAACTCTCGCTATATAGTAATTAGGGAAAACATATACAGACACACATATATGTATATAAAGATCCTTGTTCCATTATATCTAATAGCTGAACCGATTTTAAAACAACTTTATGAGTATAAGTAATGTGGTTGAATGTAATATTAATTTACAATAATTATTATAAAGAGTGAAGACGAAACCGAAGGCTCAGGTAGTATTTAAATAAAAAGAATTCATTGATTTTTGTATGAGTTAAATATTATATATTTATTTTTATTCCACTTAGAGAATAAAAATATTATTTGTAATGAATTCTGACTGAAATAAAAGTTAAAGATTTTTCTGAGTTAGACTTAGTTTATATTAAAATATTATAATGTATATCATTTAGTACATTTATATATGCCATTAGCCTATCAGAGCCCACTGCTGAGCAAGGCTTCTTCTCACATGGAGAAGGTTTGAGCATTAATCACCACGCTTGCTCAAGACGGGTTGGTGATTTCAAACTTATAATTGTGAAACTATAAGGGTTTCCTCACGATGTTTTCCTTCACCGTATGTCAGTGGTGTCTAAATACTCTCAGAAAGTACATATGACTTCGAATAATCACATTGGTACTTGCCAGGCTTGAACCGGCGCCCTCGGCAACGAGAGGCGGGCCCCTTAACCACTAGGCCACCACTGACTTATTTATATATATAATTATTGTATATTAGATACCTACCTATAGTGTTTAGAAGGAAAATTTACAAGATAATTTTAATAATTCTAAAATTCATTAGGGTACTAAGACGATCGATCTGTTACATATAAAATTATAGTTTTGTTGTAAATAAGGAAATATATATGTATAGGGTTGACGTTCGTAATAAATATATTATTTGTACATTATATATATATACTTTATAAATACTTTTATTATTTATATAATCTAATGAAAAAGGAACGAAATAACAGATTTCTTTTTTAATATCTTTGTTAAGTTGTACCTGTTTCACTTTTAATTTATGTGTTGTTGTTTATTAAATAGTGTTGTTTTTTTTATAGTAGTAATTTAATTTAGTTAAATTTAGGTGTTGTCGTTGTTATAAAACTTTTTAGACAGTGCTGTGTATACCTGTAATAGGTGTACATATGAAGACCTATAGTTTTGACTGTATTTTTATGTAAATGTTGCATATGTGTACTGTTGGTGTTCCTAAGTAAATAAAAAAAAGGTTTTTTCATACATATGTATGTATATTTTAATAAGTAAATTAATATATTTATTATAATAGTAGACATCCCGACTCCATATTTATCTTAAGAGATGATAATTTGTTGACACATGTCTCTTAGATACTTAGTAATTTTAGACTTAGATTGAAATTTAATAAAATAAATCATATTATGAGATGTAAAAAGTCTAAATTATTAGAAGATTATTTTAAATATATTTACGTATTTGTCTTTGTATGGTAAAAGTTTTTGTTAATTTTAGTTTTGCTTTTTTCTCTATTAGGTATTCATTAATATAAAAAATATGTCCTTTTTACAATTAATATTTATATATATAAAGTTTCTTTCATAATATATTTTTTGTAACACAGCCCTGTTGCAGTGACGAGTGGAAAACAAGCGGTTGGTTCCCAAACAGGAAAATGTATGAATAGTTTTGACAGACATTTTAATATAGAACTAATTATATATAATAATATATTATATATATTAAATATATATGTATTAAAAAATACAAATAAAATGGTTATCACTCTGTAGCTTAGAACGATCGTCAAGCATCGCTAGCCAAAGAACGCCGTTAATATAAACAAATGTAAAAATGTAATTCTAAATTCAAACTATCCATAACAGGGTTCCCACGCGCCATGTTGGCCCGTCCTCGATGCTGATTGGTCGAGAATTAGAATTAGAATGTGGACCCCATTGGTTAGTTAATTATGTTCTTTTTTCAAGTTCAAACAGCTGTCAGCGATGGGGTTAGAAAGTTCTGTTGTGAGTTCTTATTGTTATAATATTTATTAATTTTATTTTATCTAAATGGCCGCCGTTAAAATGCGTTGAACTCGTTGTTGTTTTTTTTTTATTTATTTCGTGCCAGTTTCAATGTTCTGTTTGTTGTAGTTTGAATATTTAAATATGGAATATGTTTATCTTTGTTATTGGATTGTTTTTTATGTTGTTGTTTAGTTTATTTTTTTATTCGTCAAACGTTCTTTAATGTTATATCTGAACTAATTATGCCAGTTTGTTTTATCTCTTTTTATTTATGATTGTTTTGTTTGTTATTTTATTTAATTATTTCTATCTGTAAAACTATTATTTTTTATGTACTTATTAATTAATTTATAGCTTGATATTTGAGTACATTCTTATATATTCTTTAGTTTTTCCTTGTGTATGTTTGTTCTTGTGTTTGTGTTACATACCGTTGTTCGCGACTGTCAAGGTGTTTGTGATTAGCGAAATACAAGGTCGGACAGGTTTTAGATAAATTAACATATAAATATAAATACTTAGGTATTTATTAAAGAAGATTGTTAGTATGTTTCGGTAGATTAAATATTGATGAAGATAGATATTGAATTTGTATCTAAGTTCTTTGTTATTGTTCTATATATTTTTGTACTTATTACGTACCTAGTATAAAAAAATCACCACAACTATTGATATTTTGTGAAAAATATTTAAATTAAGGTTAAATATTTTGGTTTTATTTCAAAGTATTCGAGGTTATTAAATCGAAATAGAATTTAGTAACTTTGAAAAATATTGTTATTATATTAATAATCTTTAAAAAGCAATATAATAAATACATCTTTATTGTTAATATATCATAATAGTAACTTCAAAGCTTTCACTTATTAATAGAGACTTCATTTGCGGTCCATTACAAGGAGCACCCTCGTCACGAGTAGTCTCTCACTGAAGTCATTGCACTTTTATAAATGACAACTAAAAGGACATACGCCGAAATATATATAGCTGACATTTGAAAATGGAACAAATAAATATTTAAAAATGGAACAAACATAAACAACTAACCATTAAGTAGCGTCATTTTCTGTTGCCATCCATATCGCACTGACAAAAACAATAACAAAACAACAACACTCAAATCTGAAAACGTTCCATATTTGAAAATCGCGGGAATATTTATTTTAAGTTAATCATTAAAAACAAACTGGCCGGTTGTGTTTTTGTTTGTTTTTTTTTTTTTTTGTGTTGTTTCCACTTTCCAGCCAGGAGCGGCAATGATTAGTACAGGCGGTCGTACACTGAGGCTATTTGGCCGCACGTGTTCAGCTGAGGGGTGGGTCTTCACGTGAATTTTCCGAGGTTTCCACCCTCCGCGGACCGCCCCTATAGGCTTTTCTGTCCGGCCTATGATGTTTAACCGATCGGATAGGGAATGCAGTGGAGTCGCCTACGTTGTTTATATTTTTATTCCCTACATATATTAGGGGAGACTCTCTATACAAAACTAACGTAAAGTAACTATTGATATAAAAATTAGTTTTATGATTGATTTTAAAAATGACTAAAATAATATTAGTAATAATGTTATAATTTTATATAATAATATGTCTAGTCTACAACGTATAGACAGACAAGTTAAATGTATGTCACGTATCGTACATCTCTATAATTATTTCTGTATATCTGTTCTCATGTTTTCATCGATACGAGCTCATCGTTTTCATTACATTCCACCACTAGTCCTCGTTAAAACACTCTCACTAAGTCGCTAGCTGTGAGTGTCAACTAAAGTATAATAAGTCGTTTAGTCGTCGAGTTGTTTCTTGTTCCGTCTAATTAACTATTATACAATTATACAATCTCTCTCATGTTAATGTATAATTATACAATGTCAACTCCACTCCACTCCAGTCCACTCCACTCTCTGTTCAAACACTGCCTACTTTTCATTCTGTACGCCTACACGCTCAGTATTTCAGTAAACTATCGCCCTACATTCAATAATCAACTCTAATGTATATATTAATAGAGTTCATTTCAGTTCGTTCAACTAGTCCCGTCTCTGTCACTCTCTTTCTCTCTCCCTCTCGTATTAATCAAAATACTAGTTTTCTACTTTGACGTGGAATCGTAGCAAATGGATAAGGCATTGTTTCGTAAATTGAAACTATGGTTAGTAACCAACCGGCGTAAGATGATCCCCGGCCGTGCGTCGCTAGTATGGGGCGAGGGGTCAACGTCGCTGGTCGTTATAAAGCTTGGTTTAGACAAGGTACATAATTGCTATTGTAAGCTAAAGGGTTTACAATATACTGCAATTATGAACAGACAATGATTAGAAATGTTGATACGGATCATACATACATACATACATATATATATTAATATATATAAATAAAGTACACAACGCTTTGTATAGGTATACATAACTTTATGGACAAACAGTCAACTAAAAAATATATAATAAATGAAAAACATTGATAGTCGCGTGTAAAACATATATTATATGCATGTAAGTCTGTCTGTATCCACAAATCGTGATAAGAAAATATTTATAGCGTCCGTTAAAATATAAATAACAATGAAAAAAATACAGCTGATTTAAAATATAAAGAAAATTACTAATAAGGATGTATAAAAATTAATACCTACGTACCTATAATATATAAAATAAATAACTTAACCGAATTTCACTGAATATAAGTCGTATTAATTTAAGCATTAACCAAAACTTTAATTTTAGGAGATATAAGGGAACAAATCTTCAGCCTATCAGTGCCCACTGCTGAGCTGCCTCTTCTCATATTGAGAAGGTTAGAGCATTAATCACCACGCTTACTTAACGGGTTGGTGATTTCAAACTTATAATTTATAAGTCCAGGTTTCCTCACGATGTTTTCCTTCATTAATCAGTGGTGTCTAAATACTCTTAAGTACATATGATTTAAAAATTCACATTGGTACTTGTCATGTTACATATATAGGTAGGTACATACATACATACATATATAAACCCTCTATTATATATATATATCTACAGCTATGTTAGTTATTAATTAATTTAGTTATTATAATAGTTTTTTCAACAACATCTCGCCGTATAAGTTGCTAACATTTTTCCACAACAAAGTTACAAATTTAAACAATGTGTTGAAAAATCCTTATACTGTACGCTTCAATATAACTTTTGTATAATGAATGTTTGTTTGTTTGTTACGAACAAATACTGGAATAGATATTATATTAACACACGCTCACAGATACATTAAGTTTTTAAAGAAATTTTTGGTTAATTTTTAAGAGGGATAAGAATTAATATTGTGGTGTCTAAATTATTAAGTACGTAAAATTTTATAGATATTTTGATGTGAAAAAAATATATGTGTAAAATGACGCAAAAATATATTTTTTAGTTGATCTTTAAAAAATAAATTTAGTTTCATTCAAAGGATAATCTATAAGTGTTTGAATATTATTAATAATTATATGGATTTTCTTTACATAATATAAAACGAGAATGTATGAAGTATTCTCAACAATATATAGAGAACTTATGTGTTGTATTGTCATTAGTTTAGTAAGTTTTCTGTAACAGAACGACGAACACAAATACACAAGTATATATAAATAAGATAGTATCGAAATATAATTTAATTATATCATTCATATACAAACAGTTGTATTATGATAAAGATATAGAGATTGTATCGATGAAAAGATATTAAAGGACTTGTTACTACTGACTTTAATACTGGTATAAAAATTATCAGTTAAATTAATTGATTATTTATATAGGAACAGCTGGAACGAACTGCTGCATAAGTACTGTGAGAGTTATTATTTAATTCTACTGGATGTATATATTAAACATCAACAGCTGGAATAGTTCCAGGTGTTCCATGTATTCCAGCTGTTGTACGTATTTCATTTAATTCTACAATATGTATATGTTATATATGATCAGATGGAATAGTTCTAGGTGTTGCATATATTCCAGCTGTTCCATGTATTCCAGGTGTATACTCACAGCGGGCCCGGGCGCGGCGGGGTCCTCCTCGGCGGGCGCCTCCCCGTCCACACAGAAGTAGCAGCGCTCCGCGGGCCTCCAGTCGGCGGGCTCGTCCCTATCCCGGGGCTGCGCCGCCGGCCTCTTGATGAGCGTCTCCAGGATGGTCTCCTTGCGGGGCGCCTCCGCCCCCGGCGCGTTGATCTCCTCGATCGTCTTGATCTTGATGGAGGGCGGAGGCTCGGAGGCTGCGTCTTCGTCGCTGGAGCCAGACCCTTCTATCCTCTTTGGTATCAGTCCGTCTTGATATAACTTCCATTTCCGTCGACCCATCAACTCCTCTGCAACCCGTTCTAGACCTGACAACACAACAAAACATATTAAATAATAAAAAACATACAACTTAAGTAAACACAAAGAAAACAATAATATGAACATAGGATCTGTAACCAAGATTCTGTCTTCAATAATAAATATCATTGAAATTAGTTTCGGAAATACAACAACAAAACATATTAAATAATAAAAAACATATGTACAACTTAGATTAACTAAAGTACATACAAAGAAAACAATGATATATGAACATAGGATCTGTAACCAAGATTCCTTGTTCGGGAGAAAAATTAGTTCGGGAGTAACAAGGTAACACACATACAGACATTCATTATTAATATTATTAAAGCATTCTCATGAAATCACAATAAAATACTTATATTAGTGTATATTTATTTTTCTTCTACCTGACAATTTCCCAGCCTTAGCCAGGGTCTGAATATTTGTGTATATTTATTTAATATAGAATTTAATACTCTTAATTTATTTCATTAATAATAAAAATATTTATAATATTAAATAAATTATTTAATTTTTAAGCCATTTGTTTGAAGCGAGTACGATTTCTTAGAAATTAGTTTTTTCCGTTATTTTATAAAAAAATATCCTTACTTATTCTTTAATATTTTTAATTCCTAATAATATAAATATTTGTTACATATATATATTTATTTAACATGTGTGTATGTGTAGTGATATCTGAGTGTAATATATTTTTGTCGATATCGGTAACACATGATTAATGGTCGACATCTCTATTTATATTCTTTAAATTTATTACATCTCTCAGTATTCGGTTCACATACTATACATATTATATATTGACGTATTATTTATCAACTATATAAATATAATATAGTCAGTTGTGTCCTAGTGGTTAAAAGGCCCGCCTCTCATTCATGAGGGCGCGGGTTCGATCCTGGCCCGGGCAATTACCAATGTGATTTTTCCGAGTCATATGTACTTTATAAGAGTATTTAGACATCACTGATTCCTGCATTCCCAAAGAGGGTTGATGTCAGGCAGGCGGCCGGTCGTAAAAACAATTAGCCAAAACTATTCGCAACATTTAAAGTAGACCCTGGCAGAAGCTAAGAAGAAGAAGATATATAGGTATAATAATACATTATTATTTATAATTAATAATCAAATATAACACCGTAGCCATTAAACAACTCAGTCACGCCACACTAAACATACAGACGTACAAAAAATGTATTGAAAAAAACTATCGATAAATCTCTATTAGTACGAGTTTTCCATAATTACTACATACGACGCGTTTTACGTTTTCATTCAATTCATCATCAGCCTATCAGAGCCCACTGCTGAGCTTCTCACATGGAGAAGGTTAGAGCATTAATCACCACGCTTGATCAACGGGTTGGTGATTTCAAACTTATAATTTGATAAGTCCAGGTTTCCTCACGATGTTTTCCTTCATCTGTCATAAATCTAAATACTTTAAAGTACATATGACTTGGAAAAATCACATTGGTACTTGCTAGGATCGAACCCGCGCCCTCATGAGAGGCCTTCAACCACTAGACTACCACGACTAATTCATTTGAAAAATTAATATGAGTGAATACTGTTAACTCTACGTGTGGCGTATAGTGTAACTGATAGTAAGCGTACTATAGTAATGTTTTGATCGACTTCAATCATCATATCAGTTAAAAGCTAAAGTTATAAAGAGTTCACCTTATTCACTTTAACTGGGAATTTTTAACTCTATACAAATTGAACCTTTTTACGAAAGCTGTTCATTTTATATTAACTGATAATCTAACCGAAATATATTAAATGTATTGATAAAAAGGTTATGCTAGATCATTTTTAAATAGCCGTTATCCTGCATATTCGTGTATTACTCAGCGAAAGTCTCATTTAAAAAGTTACAGCCGGTTTTAAGGTAACAGCGAACAAACAAAAACAATGACTGGTGAACAAAAATTAAGGTTCATGTCTTATTTCTGTTTTATAATCATTTTAGGACTAATTTAATAAAATATATTTGTATGGAGAATGTTAAAAAAAATAGTAAGTACGAAGTTATTAGATAAATTAGGAATTGAAAAAAATCATATGTACAAATATAGGCACGATTTTTTCTTACAATCCTAATTGATAAAAAAATATATATTTATAGGATACAAGGCAAAATAATTTTGAATTTATTTTTATATCTCAATTTAACTTCTACATTTTTGTTTATTTGCACAGAAATCAAAAAAAATATATTATTTCATACATATTCATTTTTTCTTCTGCCAATAGCTATCTATTATTTAAGTATAATAAATATTTATATGTATATGAATGGAAAGTTCAATTAGCGATTGTGGTTCAGTCACGCTGGTATACTTGATGCCATGTAATTTATAACAACGAAACAACTCAAGCAAAACCATAAGTCAACGACCACCATAACATACCATATACATTTAAACATCCCTCAAAAAAGACAAAGAAATAGTTAAAAAAAACATTATTATGCAACTAATATCTATAATCTATATTTATATATTCAATTCACACGTAAAATATTTTTATTAGTCGTCTTAACACTCGTCTTATTTCATACTAATTCATTTTATTTAACCTATAAAATATAATCGGTTTTCCCATACAGTAATAATATTAAATCGATCCACATTCTTCAGCCGAGTTTGGTATATCGGCTATAATTAATACTGCATCGAAAAAGACGCGGAAAAAATTAAAAAAAAAAAATAATGCATTGAATATATCTAATTCTATTTTCAATTATATTAAGCAGGTGTGTTTGTGTGTTTTTGTGTGTGTGTGTGTTGCATCACGTCATGTCCGTAGTCCCTGATTGGTCGTTAGTATTAGACCAGTCTATTTCAAGGTCGCTCGCTGCGTGTCAATGTTTGGTCCAAGATATACGAATCAGCGATAGAGCAGTCTTTGTTGACCTTGTTTTAATTCGAGGATCGTATTAGTAAAAGTAAAATCTGTCAAGTTTAAGATTTTTCAATGCCCAAACGTTTTTCAGATAATAATTAAATCACCCAATTTTAATGAATTTCCATTAATTAACAATTTATTTTTTTCATAATCATATCTATTTCGAGTAGTAAACATAGTCATGGTTTAGTTTCAACGATGCATTATTTATCTTTCAGTCCGTCGAGTTATTGTATTGAATGCGACGTCAGAGCACACACTAAAACAGCCTTTAAATATACCTATCTACTTCAAGGTCGTTCGTTTAAAATGCGCCAACACACAAGCTGTGCATTGTAATGTGGATATTGTATAATTTTATGTCGCCGGTTAGTTTTAAAGAACTTCAGCCTCAAAACATCTTTCATTATGTAGTGTTTGCTTTAATTATTATATGATGCGATGTAAACAACCTCAAATGATTAATCTCTCTTGTTACATATTATGAAGATTATTCAGTAGAGCAATTATTTACTTATTACTTACTATTAAATATTTATAAACATTCTCAAGAAATTTATATCTTGTGAGAAATATATCGTTCATTAATATGTTATAAATGTATTTATTTTTAATGAACATTTTTTGTTTCGGTTGCATCTGTGATTCAGTCCTTTGTCTAATCGAGTTTCCTTTGTTTGAAATCCTTTATATATTAACCTAACAAACTAACAAAGGATGTTTAATGATATATTTTATTGAACGTTCATAATTTATTTATTCGTAGTTTTATTTATTTGTGTATATTTCGTGTGTACACTAGCTAGTTGCCCGCTCCCGGCCGTCGCTCGGGCCACACGATGAATCAACCAGGAAACGCACATGTCCTTGTGCGGAGTCCAATATGCACATAACATTATACACACATTTAATTATAATTATGATTGTCCTTCTTTGGACATTTATTACATGCTGTGTGTTGACTGCGGCCGCGGAATAACTCACGTGTGTCGAATTGTTTAACACGATACTCTTACGTAATACATGTATTATTTAATATACAAATTTATATTTTTCATATAAATGTTATTTATATTCTATTTCAGTCAAACTGGTCGTCGTAATAGTATCTGTTACAGGGACGTCGTCGTGTAGTACAAGGTTACTATACGTATACAACTATGAACTAGACGTAGTAATAATAACTGGGTGATAACGATTAGTCTAACTTATATATAGAGATTGTAACGGTACAGTCGTGAAGACAAATGTTTGTGAAAGTGAAAGGACTTGAGACTGGACGTTTGAGATTTAAGGACGCGACTGTACACGACGCGAGTACCGGCGTGTGACGTCACGATGCTACAGGGGCGCGAACCGATCATCATTATAATTATTTATATTATTATTTATATAGAGTATGAATTTAATTCATTCCAGTTGGTCGCGACCTCGCCTCATATTAACGTCTCGACTATTGACACTTTTATTTTAGCTAATTTGAATGTTAAAAGCCACTCACGATATTGTGTTTTTTTAATGCAAAACCTTTTAAGGCAATCATGTCCAGTTCTAACATAGCATCGGTAGAGAAAGAATGAAAATAATATGTTTTATAGTTAGCATTAAATACGTAGTATTGTATTATTTGATTTCAATAAAATGTTTTAATGTTACAATACAATTATGTAATGGAAAATTGTAAAAGAATTAAAAATTCTCATAACATCAATAGAACAGAATGCCTTACCTTAGACGCGGTAAGTAAAAATGTAATTAAGAGTCGTAGTAGAAAGGTTATGCGCCTCTGGAATCCGATGCGAGCCATTTGAATGAGGAATTAGAATAAGATGGCAAAAAATATGAGCATTAGAAAGAATGGTGCGGCCGATGTTAGAGAGGGACAGACGATGGAGCCGGCTCGTGATTGGCTGACCGCTTTTTATGCCTTAGTTCCCCTAATCTTCGTTTCGAACAACATCTGCTACGCTAATGTTTATTCGAATCGGCTCTTTAAATTTATTACCTTAGGATCTAATTTTCTATTCGACTCGGCTCGGGTATAATATTTTTTTTCTATCTAAACGGTCGATGCACGCAACTTGTTATTTCAATTTTTAATACATCTCCCATCGAATGGCTTCCTTTTAAGGTCACCGTTGGGCGCGGGTTCGATTTTTAAATTATAAATGATCGTTGTTTTTTTTTTTTCGTCGTTGTAAGTCCGGTCATTGGTCGAGGACGTAGTTCCTTCATTGTTTGTTATTTCTTATATAATAAGAGTCGCCTCACTAATGACAGTTGGACAGCTGACTAACGACTTGCCGCCATTTTTGGAATTTTTCAAACATTTATAATGATATACATTATTGAATTATGATAGATGACTGTAATTGACTGAATAAATGTATTTTAATGATCGCTTCTGTTGGTGTTGTTAATTTTTTATTAAAACAATGATAGGTTATAAATTATTTTTTGCCTATTTTTTATTAATATCTGAACTGTTTATTTAACCATTAACTTGTGTATACAGTTGAACGTAATTATATTTGCATATATATAAATACTGGTTAAGATTCACAGATTATTATCAAATAAATAAAAATAAAATATAAGAAAAATAAATAAAATTATATTAAAAAAGTTATCTGAATTATAATTATATAAATAATAGTTAATAGTGTGTAGTTTCTCACGGGCCTTTCTCTATTCAGCCGTGACTTTAGTGTTGCCATATTTGGTATATATTTTTTCCTTCATATCGAACCAAAGTTTCTGCTCGGTTAACTGTGCATATAAATAATTGTTTTTATCACTGACAACCAATGATGCAATATATTTAGACTATGTTAGATCTATCGCATGATTATTCTATTAAAACCTTGATTACGAAAAAATAAATGAATAAATGTTTGAAATACAAAAGAAAACTAAACATGGTTTTATTAAATATTATTAAAAACATTTAAACAATATATATTATGAGCTCAGCAGGTGCGTTGAGTAATGTAATGGTTTTGCACGTTTTTGGTTTGATATAAGTATTGTTAAACCATTAGATGAATAATAACTAACGTATAAGGTTACGAACGAATAGTTACCGTTCCTTGGAAATAACTATGTACTTTTCGATATTACAAGGAAATAAATAATTAAGATGAAACAAGAAAAAAGTTAATGAGTTATAACGTGCGGAACAAACGAACGTACATATTTTTTTAATGTTAATTATGATGTAAATATATTTGGTTGTCAATCTCCAGCCAATATCCCGTCGATATTGTCCGGTGTTGGTCAAACTATTCCAATATGGCGGCCGCGGGCTGTCTGGAAGTTCGCGAACTATCCTCATTGAAATTGTTATGTTATTTAGATTCGCATCGCCATTGTTTAAAACGACGTATAATATGCATAATTTAATAATATTACACAACCCTTTTCGAAATTCCTAAACAAAAAAAAAATATATAGGTATAAAACAATAAGCTATTTATTTCACATTAATGAAACTCTCACAAGCCAAATTACATTTTAAACGCACAATCACAAGTAATAAAGCGAACCAGTAATTTAATAGTTCAACCATAGATAACTTGTAATTTCACAATCACAACACAGACTCATGACAGATGACGACGAATTCCCGCGAAAAATGGCCGACCATACAAAATTAACACAATCATACGGATTTTGAAATAATGATTTAGTTTTTATTATTCTTATACCTGGCAATTTCCCAGATATAGCCAGGGTCTGCCTTATGTTGTGAATAGTTTTGGCTAATTTTTACGACCGTAGAAATCAACCCTCTTTGGGAATGCATTAATCAGTGATGTCTAAATACTTTAAAGTACATATTACTCGGAAAAATCACATTGGTACTTGCCAGGATCGAACTCGCACCTTCATGTATGAGAGGCGGGCCGTTTAACCACTAGGCCACCACTGACTTTATTTAGTTTTTATTATTATTACTCTAAAAGTTTATTAATCACAGTTATTTAAACTTAACGATATAATAATGTATCGGCTTTCCGTGTTTAAGTGTCCATACTTTCTAAATCTTTAGTAATTTTTGTAATATTTCAAGTTGAGATAGAGTTGTAGCTCGTATGGAATGTGATGGCATCAGGTATCGTGAGGTCAAAGGTCAACTTTCTACCTAAATAGAGAAATTACTAACTGAATAAGGTATTTGATAGGATACTACACGCTTGGGGCGGATATCGTAAAATCAAATCATATATTTGTTTGTGAATAACTACTAAACCAATATTATAATTTATTGTAATACATTTATTTATTGAGATGAAATAAAATATACCTATTATGGTGTATTTAACGTATATGTGAGCAGTTTTCGAGTTACGTACACGAATATGTTAGTATCATTACCAAAGCGAAGGTTACACACACACACACACGTGTATGTATGTCTGTGTATCACGTTTCCACCGACCGTGACACACAAATACAATACATGAACCTGTCACATAATTAATCATTATATTAGAGAATAAACAATTAAATTTATTTTAGGAGGAAAATGTATGATAACTATGAAAAATATTAATATTTTTTCTTATAATTTTAGTCTCATATTACTTAGCCTATTTCCCTACTTATTGACTGAAACCCGTTATGTATCTGAATTCTGAGAAACTTAGACTAAGTATTAAGTATTAAACATAATTATATTATATTGTATTAGGAGTTTTTAAATTTGTGTGTGTGTGTGTGTGTGTGTGTGTGTGTGTGTGTGTGTGTGTGTGTGTGTGTGTGTGTGTGTGATAGCGTGCGGTCTAAGTACCGCCCAATGATAACCACAGTTTAATAGCTATTGGACAAAAATTTCAACCGGAAGTCATGCACACGACTCATATTTACACAGTTTAGAATTTAGATGACTCACTCAATGTTTGAAAAATATACCAATAATAATGTATGTTATTTAAATGGCGGAATATATGTGCATGCAACTTTGTATTAAGACCTATTTGGTTCCAAAATTCTAAGGTAATTAGCGAGCGACGTCGGGTGTCAATACATTATATATGCTACACGTGTCAGAACTTAGATGTGGGTAGTTCTTATATTTCATTATATATTATAAGTAGTATAATAATAAGTTTAGTATCTATCTATCTATGTAATGTTATGTCACACACTACGCACTTGTAAATTGCAGTGACCTTGAGGCCTTCTAATACCGAATGGCCATGTTGACATCCGACCGGTCGCTCGACCAGTCGCCCGACCAGTCGCCCGACCAGTCATATTAACATCAAACAACACAAATAACAAATCACTCCAAACTGTCTTTCAACGCCCATTACATCTAACTAAAACCAACCAATGCCATGTCAACTATCTAACGAATTATGTCATTACATCTAATACATGACCTTATTCCTATATAAATAGAGTTCATTATTGTATGATGGTTGTGTGACGTCACTCGTCTGTGTGTGTGTGTGTGTACAGTGAATGAACGCACACCAATATAATGTCACGAAAACCAGCCCGTTTCTAGGTTAGAGTATGCGCGGGCGCATAGCGGTTGACCATGATTTGATTTAGAATTTTTTATTAACTACGTGGAATACATTACGTTATATATTTAGGTATTGATTTATTTATATGTAATTATAGAATATAAATGAAGTAAATGTAATTTTAAATTATTTATAATGTTTGATTTGTCACAAAATTAATGACATATGTTTGAAATAGATACAAATAAAGATAATTAGAATTATTTTCATGTGCTTTCATATAGATATATTTATTATTAAAGTTCATTGTTTTGTTGTAATAATAACTTCTTTCTATTATTCTAATAGTTTAAACTATTTCATCTCTCTTCTTCTCATATTATCCTAATTTTCTCAGCACATTATATCCACTCTACTGACCTTGCGGATTCTCTATATATTTGAAATGAACCTGTTTTGCTTTCCACACACACACTCACAACAAGTCTTTATAACACACATATATATATTGTTATTAGTTAAATAAACAGTAGATTATACGTTTAATACATATACCTAATATATATTTTTTATCATATACATCGTCACTAAGTTATTTATTTCATATTTTAATATCACCTAAGAATTTTCGTTATTTGAAACATTTTGACGTCAAAAGTAAAATTCTTTTATAGTGACGTCATCAATGAATACCAGTAATTCCAATATTATCTAATAATACGTAAAATTAACGAGTCAGTGCTGGCCTAGTGGTTTAAGGCCCGCCTCTCATGCACGAGGGCGCGGGTTCGATCCTGGCAAGTATCAATGTGATTTTCGAGTCATATGTACTTTCTAAGAGTATTTAGTCACCACTGATTAATGCATTCCCAAAGAGGGTTGACGCCAGGCAGGCGGCTGGTCGTAAAAACAATTAGCCAAAACTATTAACAACATGTAAGGCAGACCCTGGCTAAAACTGGGAAAAATTGCTAGATAGAAGAAGAATATGTATGTATGTTTTGTTGTTCGCTATATCTAATATTCGGTTAATGTTCAATGAAATAGTTAATTAATGTTTTATTAACGACCGCTAGCGGGCGACACTATGTCACTCAGTGTTTTAATAATAACTTGTTAATGACGCCGGTTCCGCTTGTCTTAATAATAACTAATTAAACATACGTTAAAAATATATTAAAATTTTTAATTAATAAAATTAAAAGTAATATATTTGACTACTATTGGTATATTGACGCGCTATTGACCTTTATGAGTGATATTGAATTATTATGTATTATATAACAAGCGGCTATGTAATTACATAGCGTTAACGTTACAAACAATACATAAGGACGAAATATATTACTTTTATATACATATGTATAAAAACTAATCTATTTTGGATCATTATTTTGTTTAAGTTGAAGTCAAAATAGTATCTATGCTATTGACATAGAAATGACAGGGTAGTTAATGAGTCTTTTGTGAAATATAAAATGTTTTTTTTTATATATGTAATAAGGTGTTTGTTTTTCTTAAACATAATAACTATTAAACTTTTCTTTTAGTCTATTTATTAGGTATATGTAATAACTAAGAAAATAATTTATTTTTATCTTTAATACACAAAATAATGATTTAAAATTCTATGTGTGATATAATTTTGATGAATTTTATCAAAATTGATACAATTTTTTATTTTATTTCTATACATTATCTATATTATTGAATAATAAAAACTCAATACAACACACATTATTTAAAGTACTTACTTGTAATGATAAATCATTGAATAAGTGATTTCTGATAAAAATCATAAGTACACTTAAATATAAACTTAAAATTAATATAAATTAAATATATTATACTTAATCATAAAATACAAGTATTTCTAACAAAAAATTACTAATATATTAACTAATGATTTTATTTTGTTCGTATTTCATTCTAATGATCTATACAAGTGTTAAGTTTCATGAAAATCAGTACAGCAGTTGTTTCTTAAAGGGCTTCTGTACTTTGTACGTCTGTTTGTTTGTTATTAAAAACTTCTATTTATATATTTGTGTAAAGTTTACAAATTAGTTACAAATATTCTGATTATTTTAGTCTCTAGTAAGAAAACATGAAAAATAGATGAAAATTATATATTGAATGTTAATTTAAAATAACTTTATAATCATTTCATAGAATTTATTAAAAGTACTATTGATTTTTTTCATATAAACGACATTTTATTTTTGTTTGTTCCGTAATGTTTGAGAGCTTTTATAAAGACTGATACATAAATGAAATTAAAAATGGCTGTAATTATTTTTTAATTAAATATACAGTAATGACTTGTGAATTAAAAATATACGTTTTTATTATACACAAATGAGAATGGATTAAGAAAGGAATATATATTTTTAGATATAATTATAATACTTATTATAAATAGTGAATGTATTTTTTATATTTAATGTTAATGTCGTGTATATATTATTATGGTCGGCCATTTTGTTTTATGATCGCCGTCTATCAGACGTCTTCCGTCACATGATAATTCCGAGTTGATTTTTGCAGTTTAAGGAAATTCTAACAAATCTAGTATTCTATGCGAGTACAAGGCTATATGCGAGGCTGTTTCCGTGTTTTGAGGAAGAATAATTTATTTTTTTTAATACCCTTCTAATTCATTGTCTTAAAAAACCTCGGTTTAATGAAGCAACGATCGTCAATATTCAGCCTAGAATTAAATTTAAATATAAATATATTTGTACGTGGTATCTTAGTTTGGAGTCACTGTTTGATCATTATCGTGGTAACGACTATTGGCCCAATAAATAGTGAGGTGCGATTTACGATTTAACAACTATATGACAAACATGTATGAAATGACAATATGATACACGAAAGAGGTTATATATAAGGAGTGTAAAATATATGCTTTAATTCTATTCTAAATTTGAATTGCTTTGAAAATGTTTTTGAAAATGGAATAAAATAAAAAATATTGAGTTTTCTATTTCATTTGTGATTAGTTTTTTCAAACAAAATATTAATGTCATGGAATTTTCGTGTATATTTTTGAAAATGGAATCAAAAAATAGATAGTTGAATTTTTTTATCTAAACTTGTAAAGCTGTGTGTCATGGTTCCTTCATAAATTTTGAAAATAGAATCAAATAAAAATCTATTAGCTGTCTAATGATCATATACCTTACTTTTATTACGAAGTTTTATATCTATCCTTCTATATGGGAGCTATATTAGTAAAAGTCAAATATGTTGTATGGTGTATCCAAAAGTGTACATAATGCGGTAAGTCGATGCAAACCGTTCGAGCCGTTATCTAACCGTGAAAAAATACTCATCCCGCCCACAGCGACTATCGCTTACGGTATTTCGATCGTGCGAACGGAACAGCCTACACCGAGCTATACATATAAAAGGGACGGGTGTATATCTGTGGGCTCCTACCGCGGCCTAAATGCTAGCCTTTTATTATATTAATTGCATCTATCTCGCCGTATGAATAATAACAGCTGACCTTTGAAAGTCAATTAAACACTAACAACATTAAAACTGTGAGAATGGTTTGTTTCTAACTATTATTGTAATGTTGGCAGCTTTTACATTCGTTAGTACACATGGCAACATTGAAACGCACCACACATTATATTAATCCATATAAAGACTTGACTAAACTTGTCATGTACACTGTACACCAAATATTATTTAGTGTATATGTATTTGTGGTGAGCGCCATCTACCGCCGCGCGTACGTCGGTAATTAGCATGCCGTATTAAACACTTGTAACGGTTCACTGGTTCAAATCCCGGTCCAGACAGGCGTGTGTGTGTTTATAAACGTGCTAAATGATTGCTTTTTAGTTTATTGGTTCGCTTCAGGAGGCCTTTTACGATGCAATTGAACGTTACAAAGTTACATTGTAGCTTGTGGGTAGTTTGAGAATGTTCGTGTTATGTGGAACAATCGACGGCTTTTTGTACATCATAGACATTCCCATGGATGTATAAACTCTCCTATCACACGACAAAAAAAAAAATACGCATTTGGAATTTTTTTCTATGTCAAAGTATGAAAAACATAACACTATTTCAGCGCAGTCGGTTGTCGGTATAATAAAGTGAATCTATAAAACTGTTAAACGATAACAACTGATCCGTAGAACCTTGGAGCATCCAATAAAAGAGCTGGCTCTAAGCACCAGATTATACTATCACTTAATTATCTTAATAACTATATATAATGATAAATATTATATATATGACAACTCAAATAAAACTTAATTTATGTTACGGAGTTTTCATTATTTGGGAATGACAGACAGACATATTATTATGACGAACCTGAACGTATTTTATAAAGTAATTTGAGATCATGGGTCATTGAAATATTTTCTGATGTAAGGTAAGGTCAATACATTGGGTTAAAATATATACTAGCTGACCTGGCAAACGTTGTTTTGCCATATAAAAAAAATTTAAGGCTAAACAAACCTTATAACTTAGAGGTATGAAAAATAGATGTTGGCCGATTCTCAGACCTACTCAATATGCTCACAAAATTTCATCAAAATCGGTCCAACCGTTTCACAACACACAACACGAGAATTTTATATATGTATATAGATAGGTATAAGCTAGAATCCAAAGGTAACATTTTCCTTTCAGGATTAAAAATTTTATATAGAAGATGTATGTATGGCATACTTTTAGTTCGTAACTACTAACATAAACGATAATTAGTCTTCTTCTATCTGGCAATTTTCCCAGCTTTAGCCAGGGTCTGCC